CAGCCTCGCTCAATGGGAGGAGGGCGACGCCGACGCGCGCCGCATCAATATTCACCGCGGGGGCGGGGCCTGCGCGCGGGGGGCGGGGAGCTCGGCCCCGCCCCGCCCGGCCGGCGCCCGCCTCCTGACTCGCGCGGGGGCGGGGCCTGATGCGCGCCACGCCCCCCGCGCGGCCGGGGCGGGGCGGGGCGGGGCGGGGCGGGGCGGGCCCGGGCGGGCGAGACCACGGCCGCGGGGGACGCGGGCTGTACCACCCGAGCGGGGGGCGCCGCCCCTCCCCGCCCGGCCGCCGCGCGGGCCTCCCCGCCGGCCCGGCCGACCTGGGAGGCGCGGGGAGCCGGGCCGCCGGGCCCAGGCCGCACAGCGGGTGCCGCGAGCCCCAACCCGCGGCGGGGCTGCCCGGACCGCCTGACCCGGCCCCGCCGCTGCGGCCTCGCGCCGGTTCCGGCCCTGCCTGGGCGCCTGCCCGGCACCCCACGCCGCCCTCGGGGCGCCCCAGGCCTCGCCTCCGCCCTCGGGTGGCCTGGCCTGGCGGCCTCCCCGGGAGGCCTGCGTGGCCCTGGGGGGGGCGGCGACTGGAGGGTCTGGAGGCCTCCCGGGGAGAACGGGCGGGAAAGCCCCCCCCGGCCGGTCTCTTCACGGGGCGGCCCGTGCCCGCGCCCAGCCCGGGCAGGCGGGAAGGCGCCAGACGAGGGGCGAGCCCTCAAAGGACAGGGGCAGGCCATGTCGCCCTTGATCCCCCCAGCAGCCCCCCATTCAGGGCGACAGTCTCCACCCGCCCTCCGGGGCAGTGCGCTCCTCTCCCGGCCCCTGCACCTCGGGTGCCACCCACCGCCCCCCTCGCCCGCCCTGTCCCCCAGCCCAGGCGTGAGGCGCCCCGGGGCCTTTGCACTGGCCGTTCCTCTGCCTCAGGCTCGGTTCCCAGAGACACCCACATGTCCGTCCCCTCCCCACACACACACCCGCGTTCCTCGGAGCCACTGTCTTGAGCGGTTCTCACCACCGCGCCCAGCCCTGCTCTGTCCGCCTCGCTGCTTTCTTCTCCGGGGTGGGCCGCAGAGTGCCTGGGGCTGGCAGCAGCACCTTTCCCTTCGCCTCCAGCGGGGCCCACGCTGCCCTTCGTCCCACACTACCTTCGCTGGGAACCCCGGCGCTGACTGCGGGCCCCGCTCTCGGGGTGCTGCCTGGCTTGCTTGGGGTCACCCGCCCGCGCCCACAGGAGGGTGAGGCTGCTGCTGCTCTGAATCTCGGGCCCCAGGTGACTAGTCCCCAGTGAGCAGTGATGCTGTTTCGGGAAGCCAGGGGCTGGCAAGAAGCCCCCAAAGGGCACCTCTACTCTGTTCCTGCTGCGGGTGTTAGTGCGGCACCCCTCCGCCCCCCGCCCCACTGCTCTGACCGTGCCTCCCCCTCAGACCCAGCGAGAGGGCAGGGCCGGCTGGGGCTCACCCACACCCCCCCACACAGCCGGAAGTTCGCGGGAGAGGCCGATGGCGGCGGAGCTGCTTCTGGGCAGCATGTTTTTCTCCGGGGGCTCCACCTGCCTCCAGGATTGGGGTTCACACGTAAAGAGCGATAACTTATCATTACAAGACGGGGAGTGCCGTGCTCGGGGGCCTCCAAATACATTGGCAGCCACCCGGCGACAGATTTTTGGTGGGCTGTGGATTCACGCCCTGCACACGGGGGCCAGTGCCTCCCCGCGGTCAGGGGCAGCGCTCCCTCCCTCGCAGCCCCGGCGGAGCGCTCTCCGGTCTCCTGGTCAGCTGGCCGGCCGGGGGCAGCGCCTGGGCCCGAGCTGTGCGGCCTCTTCTCCGGGAGCCGAGGGGGCTGTGAGGACGCCGGTAGACGACAAGCCTGTGCGGCGGACGCGCAGGCGCTGCAGGTATTTTTGTTTACGTTTTTATTTTGTGAGTTTCCACCATGCAGAAGCAGGGGAGGGCAGCGTCGCTTGTGCTCACCAGCCTGGGCCTGCGAGTGGTTGAAGACAAACCCTTTGGGGTACTCGCTTCAGGGGCCAAGGGGTAAGGCTATTAATTCCATTTTATGGGGAAACAGAGGTACGGCACAGTGAGGTCTCACCCAAAGGGTAAAGGGTGCATGGGGAAGGCACCCGGCCGGCGGGCGCCCCATCAAGGCCCTGCCACGCCAGCCCCGGGGCCCTTAAGTGGACCACCGCACAGGCTGCCTCAGCCCCGCGCACCCATGCCCTGAAATCGCAGCTGAGACACAGTCCCTTCAGAGGCCAGGCGGGAAGCTGAACCCCCAAGTCACGTCCTTGGTAGAACGGAAGCCCAGCACTCGGCGAGAACACACGTCTGACTGTCACTGCGGCCTGAAGATGCCCGCTCAGGGCTGCCTTGGCGAGGCCGACGCTCTGGCCCAGACGTCGCCAGCGACTGGGGAGAAGTGTTTGAGCTTCGGGTGCTGGGCACCTCTCGCTCTCTGGCCTCCCGTGGGGGTGTGGCCCGGGGGAGGGCTCCCTGGGCCAGGAGGCCCACCTGGGGGGTTCCTTCGGGCCCCTGCAGAGCTGCCTGGAGGCTGAGATCAGGGCACACCTGAGCTGTGTGCAGTAACCCTGCCTGCTAGGAAGGCGCCTCCCCAGGGGGAGACTTTGAGCCAGCGTGTCAGGGGATCCCATGACCTGGGGGGGAGGGCTGGAGAGGGAGCTCAATTTCGTGCCCAGTGATTCAACCAGCCTCCTCCCCTGTGATGAACACCCCCCACGCGCACTCCAGACACCAGAAACCCAGGGGAGCTTCCTCTTCGGTGCCTGGAGGGTAGCGCCTGGGGGTATGGACCCTCTGCTATCAGGGGCCCCCCCAGACCTGCCCCGGGTCTCTTCCTGGCTCTGGCCTGTACCCCAGTTCTTGTATGCATAAATATTTAAAAAAATAAGACGGTAGCATTATGTTTTGTTACAAATACCGCACCTCTCGTTGAAGGCCCAAATATAGACTCGAATAAATAAAATAAGGTGCCACTGAGTGAACAGGTCCTGCATGCGCTGCCTGGCCTGAAAAAGCTGTCTCGTGCAGCCTCTTCCAGGAGTGCTAGCGCTGTGAGGAGAGGCCCGACCTCCCGGCCCTCCACCGGCCGCCTCCCTCGCATGGAGAGGCCCTCCTGGTGTGGGGCCAGCGGGGCTGTCATCTGTAGCGCCATTTTGAAAGTGGATCCGGGAGCCATCACGGGAAAGCAGCGCTGTCCGTCTGGTTCCGACCCGGTCAAAGGCCATAGAACTGAGCCCAAGACCATCAAATGGAATTAATAACGCGCCCCTTCGCCCCCTGGAGCAAGAACCCCAGAGTTTATCTTGAACCACTTGGGCGTCTGTCCACAATGCAGATTGTTGGCACTGACCAGTGGGCTTTCCGGCGCCCCCAGGACAGGCCCAAGAAAGGGCAACAGTCAGAACTCCTTCCCCAGGAGGTTTAGCCAGTCTGCTCCTGCCCGCGGCCCGCAGATGCCCCTTTATACACAGCCCGTCATTTCCCCGTTCTCCCCAGTGGCCAGCCGCGAGTAGAAGGCCCACAGCACAGCCGGCCACCGAGGCTGCCCTTCCCGTGGCTGCGAGGTGCCCGCAGCTGCCGCCACCTCCTGTGGCTCATCTGCCCTTCCCAGGGCCAGCGCAGTCCTCCCTCTGCTAATCTCGTCCTCCCTGTGCTCGCTGGGTCCTCGTGTTCGCCCACCTCCCGTGAATGTCCAGGCCTGTGGACTGGCTGGGCTGCCCCTGGCAGCAGCGGCCTGGACGCAACCAGTTTCCTCACTCATGTGCTTCATCCCGACAGCTTCCACCCTGGGCCCACCGAGTCAGGATCAGAATTTGGGTGAGCGCCCCTGGGCGAGGCCTGTGGATCACCTTTGGGCCGCTCCTTCCCGGGATGGCATTATCAGGGTCCGCAAGAGGGTACCCAGTGGGGAGTTCCACCCGAGGCCCCCGCGTGGTGGCTGAGGCTTGGCTCACCCTGTCCCCTAAACACAGCGATAGAAAGTTTGCTCAAAGGAAGATTTGGACGCTCACCAGCAGGCTCAGGACTTCACCCCCAAGGCCGGGACTGGCTGGGGGAGGAGAGAGGCGGCGAAGGGCGTGGCTTGCAAGGCCGACGGACCCCACTGTCAGGCCATGCCCCCCCACCCTCCTGCTGGCCCAAGTCTGTCTCAGCCAGTGGGACAGAACTGCTGGCTTCTGTGGCGCCCCTCCTCCCTCCCCCACCAGGCTGGCCTGAGTCTGCAAAACCTCCAGGCTGGCGCCGTCTCCCCAGTCTCGTGCCACGTGAGGGCTAGAAGTGGAGCAGGTGGTGGCCCAAGCCCGCGTCAGTCATAGCTATGTTGCATATTTTAGACGTGTATGTAATTTTTTCCTTCTTCTTAAACATGTATGTATTTATGCACACAGGAACTGGGGCGCAGGCCAGAGGTGCTGGGGTGAGAGGACTCACCAGAGACAGAGCGGGGAGCAGGACAGGCGGATCTACTGACATACCCTGCTGAGGGGGCGGCGGAAGACAGAGGTCTGCTGCGCCTGTGGGTCACTCCCTGGCCGGGGTCGCATTCACAGCGTGATTGCTCCCAGGGAGGCCCAGATAAAAGCTGTCGAGGACTGCGGCCGGCAGGGCTGTGAGCAGCTGGTCGCTGATCTCCAACTGGGCTGCTCTTACAGGAGGGCACTGGCCTTTTTGTTGAGCTCTCCCAAGAGTGGCCTGGCACCCAGTGGAGAAGCCACGCCCACTGTCACCCCCTCCGGTCTGCGGGGCAGCTGTGGCCTGCCTGCCTCCCCACCAGGCTTCTTCCCGCCCAGTCTCCCCCTCCAGACGATGTGTGGCAAATTTCCATCGCGCTGGTAGGCCTTCTGGGAGTGTTCCCCAGCCCTTAAAATCAGAGCACACAAACCACGAGCTCCCCCCCTCACCAGCCCATGTCAAGAACGACCGCTGTTCTACTCTATCATCCGAGTTCCCGACGCCCCCATGCGAGCAGCGGGCTGCGGGCAAGGGGCGGGGCGCGCAGGGAAGGGAGGCCAGGGCACACACGGCGGCAGCTTTTATTGTTGCAGCAGAGACACAGCGAGGCCGCGCAGGTGAGCCCTCGGCCCAGCCGTCAGTGGCGAGGAGACTCCCGTCCCGAGGAGGGTTGAGGCAGCCTGAAGGCCGAGAGGTCCAGGTTCACGTCGAGGAAGGTGTACGGGGTGTAGTCGTGGTGCTGCAGGTTCCTGTAGGTGGTGTTGTCGAACGGCTCAGGGGGCGCGGGCGCCGGCTCTGCGGTAGGAAAAGGAGCTCGTGAGACCCGGACAGGCAGGGAGCGGCCGACGGTGCCCGCCCGCCCGCACACCCCACTCCTCAGAAACAGGGACGGCTGCCCAATTAGGAAAGAAAAGCTCACAAAAGCAGCAGCATCTTCCCAAGCAACACAGACACGCGCTGCAGAGAGGGAGGGTGTTACCAGGCGCCTTCGCACGGCGCCCTGGGGGTGTCCAGGCCCGGCTCTGCTCAGTCTGAAAACGCCGAGAACAACGGTGGAGGGACCTCAGGCCAGTTAAAGATGCAGGAAAAAACGAGATGAGACTCTGTCTGCGACAGACGTGACCCCGAGGAAGCGGTCACAGCAGAACGGAGCGCGCGTCCACGGCCCCGAACGCGAGAAAATCCCCCCGGACAGCGCAGGGGAACTGGAAATGAAATGTACATTTTTTTGCCTGACCTTAAAAAAAAGAAAAAGAAAAAGGCGGTGCCCCTGCGGCCCACAGACTAGAGGCCAAGTTAATCCGAGTTCTTAAATGAGAGAGAGATCCTGGCCCTGGCAGCGGCTCCCGGGACCTCACGGGCGCGGCTGAAGCGACAGCTTCCCGGGGCTCCCGGCCCCTCGATGGGAGGCGGCCAATGGGACGAGGCGGGGGGCAGCTGCACGTGGCAGCCAAGTCTGGGTCAAGTTCTCAGGCCCCACAGGCCGCGATCAGGGCTGCCGGCTCCACGCAGGCCGCGCGGACCAGCGGAGACAGCTCCCACCAGCCACGCTACCCAACGCCCTCCCAGCGAGCAGGCGGCCCTCCGAGCACACCAGGCAGCCTCCTGGAGAGAAGGGGCCGGGCAGCCGTCCGTGGGCTGCGGGGGCTGCGGACACAGCCCGGCAGACCCCCCACAAGCATGGCAAGTCCTGGAAAAGCCACTGGCTCGTGAAGAACGGGAAGCAAATTGCTTTTAAAAAGGCTTGACAGGAGAACCCCAGGTCTGCCCTTATCCTCCATGTTCCTCTCCAGCGAGGGCAGAGGAGCTGGCAAGAGCCATGCCAGGAACCCCCACCTGTTAGTGAAAGAGGGAAGTGGAGGGAGACACAGTCCTGCAGCTTCGGCACAGGGACAGGACGGCCAGGCGAGTGCCAGGCGAGCGCGAGAGAACAGGCTGGCAGGGAGCACGCTCAGGGGCAGGCGCCCGAGGGGGCGGGCAGAGCCACCCGCCTCGCCTGACCCGTCCCAGCGCATGGCATCCACCAAGGTCCACACCCAGGAGGTGGGTCAGTGGCCCTTTCAAAAATGGATGTGACAAGAAGGCCATTTGTGTAAACTCAGCATAGAGAAGATGAAGCAGCCGCTCGGCTTTGCAGAGAACGAGAAGGTGCTGCCGTCAGCAAGAGAAACACCCCGCGGGCGGGCCCGGGACCCAGACTAAGGGCTACGTGCGCCTCCTCTGGGGGCTGGGCAGGAGCCCCTGACTGACGTGACCTGCAGCTTGTGCACGGGACACCCTCAGGAGTTAAGGTGACGCTGTCCAGTGCCAGTTCTCAAGCGGCAGCTGCTCGCGGGACCCGAGGGTGCCACGGCAGGCTCGTGCCTGTCACTGCTACCTGAGGCCCGGGGACAGCCACACGGCCGCTCCCAAGCTGGGGGCGAGAACACGCCTTCCAAACCCAGCCCCACGAGGGCGCCCTGGCATGTACCCTGCGTGGCGTCCCGCCGGCCCACGCCACTCGCCGCGCCGGCCGCCATCTCGCCCTCTTCAAGCTTCAGCGCTGCGGTCTTGTCTTCGAAAACACCTTTATTCCCAACAGGAAGCGGCTCTGAAGTCTTCACTGGCGCCTGACCCTCCAGTGTCTCTCCTCCGGCCCTCAAGACCCCGTCTATCACCTGCTCCCCCAAGTCTGCTTTCACGAGCAGGGGCACCGCCGTGGTGGGGAGGGCCTGCTTCTCCACGGGCCTGTCTCTGGCCTCGGCGGGGGCGGCCTGCGGTCCACCTGCTGTGTGACCCCTCGCCTGTGGAGTGGGCCCCGGGCCGCTGGCAGCGGGGGTCGGCAGCCGCACCCTTTCATGGTCAGAGGAGCGCCCGACCGCGAGGGACTCCGGGCCTGCGCCCTTCGGGCCGCCTGGTCTGAGCCCTTTCTGTGAGCACGGCCCCCTGGCGTCCTGCCCCCCTCTCTCCTCTCGGGGTGCGGCAGCACCCGAGTCCTCCCTGCCTGTGCTCCGTCTCTTTGCTTGGCGCGGCTTCTCGGAGGAGGTGAGGTCTGCGTGCGGCTTCTCTTTGACCGAGACCACCATTTGGGGAGGCTCCGGCTTGGGGAGCCTGCCTTTGCCTTTGCCCGCCGCTCGAGGACGCGCTGCGGAGCCGCGGCCCTCCTCCTCAGACTCCGAATCCGAGGACGAGGACGAGGAGGAGGAGGGAGAAGCTGCGGGCCCCCGGGCCTTCTGTGGCGCCTCGGGGCCGGGCTTCCTGGCGGGAGGAGGAGCGTTCTGAGGAGATGCCGCCACGGTCTTTCTTGCAGAAGACTTGGGAAGCCCTTCCTGGGGGAGCGGGGCGCCGGGGCCAGCCACCACCCCGCGCTCACGCCCCCCCGGCCGGCGAGCCCCGGCGGCAGAGACGGTCTTAGACAGCTCAGCTGCTGCTGGGGCGACGAGGAGCGTGGCCCTCGCCCGGGGCTCCACTACATCTGGGGAACGGCACAAAGAGGAACATTACTCTCAGCATTGAGCAAAACCATCTCAGTCATCAAAGTCAGACCTATCATCAGAGGTCATCACAGTCGTTACCCAGCAGCCTGCGCGCGGCACCGCCCGAGCACTCACCCCTCGGGGACGCCCGCCACTGGCGATTTTTAAAAACAAGGATTTTTTTTACCCACACACGTAACAAACTCATCTCCATTTTCCACAACGTGAGCTTCGGTGATGTTGATCTCTTAAAGGGCAGCACCTGAACGTAAGGCGAGCCGCAGAGGTCTGTTCAGGTGCGCGCTCGAGCTTCACAGATGTCGGTCCCTCGACCCCGTAAGCAGGCGCGGCCTCTCCAGGGGGACCGCTCCGCACTGCTGCGGCGTGAGCTGACGCAACGGCCGCGCCAAGACAGCGCGGAGACCCTGATTTAGGGTGGGGGGTGCAGACACGTTAAGAGTGGGGGCCGGTGGGCAGATACACGCAGGCGCCCTGTGAGGGGGGACAGTGCTTCCCTGTCTAAGTACTTAGGGATTTCCTCCGGTCGGGGCAAAGTCTTATGCGACCACAACACGTCTACACGGACTCAGCCTCGCGTGTGTGCTGGAAAGCACAGGCTTGGAACAGCGGCCCCCAACAGGCCACCGCGCGAGCGGCGCACTGACCAGAGCAAGTGTCGCTCGGCTACGCAAGTTTTGGTGCGCAAATTTTTAGAAATGGTTAATAAAACTACTATGGGGGGGGTCACCCCCTACTGAAAATGGAAAGGGAGTTTCAAAGGGAATGAGCGATGATGCTGATTTAGAGATTCTGCCTGGAAAGCAGACCTCAGCCTATCACACTAAGAAGGCGGCGTCAGCAGGTCAAGTTCCCAGAAGGTGGGAGCTGCAGCAAAGGCCCGCGCGGCCCAGAGCCGGCCTGCCCGCCCCCACCCCAGCGCAGCCAGTGTCTGGCCCAGGGAGACTCGCCCGCTGTGCCAGGGCACCAGGCTGCGTGGGCAGCAGGGCAGACATGACACCCCCAGGAGGCGACCCTCACCGTGAACAGCGGCACGAGCTTGCCTGTCTCCCATGCCATCTCCCACATCTGCCTAGAGACAGGAATCGACAGACCTGGGCAAAGTTTCAGTGTGACAGCGACTTTCCTTGGAAACAAACGACACAACCCGAAGCTGCCCAAGTCCAGCCGGGCCGCGGCGGCGACCAAGAGGGCAGGCCGGGCGCTTTGGAGGCTGTTCCCAACCTCAAGGAGGCCACACCAGCCCACGTGAAGTGAGGCTCTGCCTGTGGGTGGTGGGAGGGGGGCGCTCCTCGCGGCTCCGCCAACTCCTCCCCGGGGTTGCTGAAGCTTCCCAACTGTCTCTGCAGGGTTGACAGGCAAGGGCACAGCTGCAGGTTGGGGGTCCCTCGGCTACAGCAAAGTGACTCTGAGGTTTGAACTGTCACCCTCATGATACTTGCGTCTCTTGTCAACGGTCACAAGAGCAGCCTGGCTACTGCTTTCAGCAACCAAGGGGTCTGGAAGGCCGGCCACTCCAAGCCCGCACCGCGGCGCAAGCCTCCTTCCACGTGCGGGCCAGAGAGGGCAACGCACGCCGAGAGCTGCCTGGCACTGCTGGCCGTGACCCAGAGCACCAGCGGGCATGCTGATCCCTCTCAGGCGGGAAAAAACCCAGGCTCCGGGGCCTGTCGGGCCCACCACGAGCAGGAGCAGAAGCTGCACAAGCCCAGGCCAGGCCTAGTTCAGTGCTCTCACAACGGTACCCCAAACAGTCATAGGACAAAGCACCTGTCATTGACTCACACAGAAGCACGCTTCCGAAAATGGGGCTTTTTGGCTCTGGCATGTTCTAAAATCCATTAATCCAATCTCATAAGCCTATGAAGTAGGAATGGAGAAAAGAACAAAGATTCACCAAGGGCAGGGACCGTGTCAGGAGCAAGGGCCAGCGAGTCCACAGAACCCACACGCTGCCGCCAAACCAAGCCAGCTCCTGCACACCTGACCGACATTCTTGGGGGGGACACTTCTGAGGTGGGTGACAATTTGTTTCTTTAAAATAAGAGTCCCAATGTTTAAGACACCTCTTTAAAACATTACAGGTAAGGGAAACAGGAAAAGCAGATCTAGAAACGAGGGCTGTCAAGGACAGGACCAGACAACGCTGCTGTTGAACTCAAGGCAGACACCGCCCGAGCGCGCGTGTGCTGGGGGGAGGGGACTCATGGCAAGGGGCCGGCACCACATAACCTACTGGGGGTGCGCGCAGACCAGGGGAGAACAAATGCATCTATGCACTTTCAAACACTCCACCTGAGGGAACAGCAGTGACTGAAGTAAGACGAACTCAAACCACGCCCCTGAAATGCGCGTGAAGCAGACACGCGGAGACTGTACATATCACACGTGCATTTTAAGAGTCAACTAGGGTTTCATCAATTAAAAGTAATGCAATAGTAAAAATTAAAAAGATCCTAGATGTAAAATAAACACTCAGAAGAAAATAAGAGTAAACAATGCCCCTGATGATGTCATCACAAGCCAGCAGGGAGGAGAGAGCACCCACTTCCGTCCACCAGGACATGCCACCTGGCTGGGGAGGGACGAGTGGACGGTCAGGGGGCGGTGGAGACGCACCGCACCACCAGTGAGTGGAAACTGAAGTGGGACCTGCTCTTAGCCCCTCCTGGGGGTGAGTGCACCTGCAGGGCTGGCCGTGCGGACCAGCAGAGCCTGGCGATCCAGGGGCGTGTCTCAGAGACCATGGAAGTATCAATTGGGGGAGGAGGGCAGGGCGCACCCTATCCTCATGAAACAGACCTCTTATGATGCCATCTAAGTGGCATGCAGTCTTCAAACTGCTGGGCGAGTGTAGAGCCTGGCATTCACTAACTAGAGGAGGAAGCAGCTTTGGGTTAAACGTGTGCAAGACGGCTGCATTACTGACGCTTGCGTCCAAAATCTCTTAGAGGTCTTATGTCTGACAATAATGCGGACACATTTATGAAAAGAACTGTAAGAGATGAAGCTAGTGCAGCGTGTTTCCCACGTGCGGAGCTGACGCTCACTCCCGTGCATGCGCTTCCCCTGCGGCAGATGGGCAGGAGCAGCTTACTTTTGGGTGGACTTTGTTTCTTGGGACTTGGTGACTGTCCCTTTTCAGTCTTTCCTGATTCTGCAGAAAGAGAAACTGTAGAAGCAAGTCCTCGAAACATTCGTGCTTCTAGGAGCACAGTCTGACAAAAGAACGAACAGGATAATGTTAGAGCAAGACACTGACTGCCACGACAGCTGCAAACCCTGGCAGCCATGGCACACCACTAAACGGGACTGCACTTTTCCATGACACAGACTTTATATGGCATTATCTGTGCCCCCAGGGCCCCCACTCACTCTCACGTATTGCAGGCCTTCCCAGGCCAGTCTAGTACAATTTTCAAAATACACGTGTATCATGGAGGTTTTGGAAAACACAAAAAATGCTGCAAGAAAAAAAACACCCAAGTTCAAGGACAATCACTACTTAGGTGCTTCCCAACCAAACCCTCTCCTGTGATGCTTTCTTGGTAGTCTTGAATAACCCAGTAAGGTACAAAATATACTCTGGTCCTTTTGGCTGTTGTTTTTGATTTTTAATAATCTTTCCACTACCGTTATGGAAAAACTGTGAAGACAGCAAAGTTCGCTTACATCCCACAGCTGCTCCTTTTATTAACACTTTGCACTAGCGCAGTTGTCATAATTCATGACCCTGTAGAGGTTGCTTACTATTAAAGTCTGTATTTAGGGCCTCCCTGGTGGTACAAGGGGTTAAGACGCAGCCTGTGGAGCTGTGCGCAGTCTCTGCAGCACGAGTTTGATTCCAGGCCAGCCAGGGAGCTGCCCACACGGCGCAGCAGACCTCTCCTGACTTGCCAGCTGCTCCGCTCAGCAGTGTATTTCTATCTGCTTGTTCTGTCTATTCCCCACTCTGTCTCTGGCGGATCCTCCCACCCCCCACGCCTCTGGCCTGTACCCCAGTTCTTGCATGCATAAATAAATCTTAAAAAAAAAAAAAAAAGTCTGGGGCCTCCCTGGTGATGCAAGGGGTTGAGATGCAACCTATGAAGCTGTCTGCAGCCTCTCCAGCATGAGTTCGATTCCCTGGCTGGCCAGGGAGTAGCTGCCCACATGGCACAGCAGACCTCTCCTGACTGCTCGCTGCGCCCCTCAGCAGGGTATTTCAGGCAGCCTGCCTGTTCTGTTCCCCGCTCTATCTCTGGTGAATTCTGTCACCGCCCGCATCTCTGGCCTAAACCCCAGCTCTTATACAAATAAATAAATCTTAAAAAAAACACAACAAAGTCTGTATTTATTCAGAGGGCCCCACTTTCTGACAAGTGCACACGGGAAGGTGGGACATTCACGTCATTGTTCTCACGGGGGGGGGGGCGTGTTTGTGCACCTGTGACTGGACCCGCACTCTGCAGGAGAAAGCAGCAGGCTCCCTGACAGGCCGTGTCCCCTCGCACCCACTGCACTCGGCGCTGCAGGGGCACCGCTTCTGTAACGAGAGCCGTCTCTTACGCCAGCGAGAGAGCAGCGGCTCCAGCTTTCCCGGGCAGGGGCCAGCCCTTCTCCCTCTCCCTTCTCAGAGGAGGGCGCGCACAGCTCCAGGTTACCAGCCCACCAGGCACCCGACAGTCCGCTCACCTCCTCCCCGGGTTAACAGACAGCGGAGACGCCGCCCTAGCGGCGCTGACGAGGCCGGACGCGGTCTGGGCCGGCACCGCGCACCGGCGGCGCCCAGCAGGCCGCGGCCCAGCGCGGGTGGGGCGGCGGGGTCAGCGGGCGCGCCCAGACACCGCGCCGGCCAGGCCCAGGCCCTCCGCTCGGGCCCGGGAAGCGTGTCAGGGCCCAGGGCCCCGGGCCCCAGGCCGACTCCCGCGCCGGCGCCCCGGCTCGGCTCGGGCAAGCGGGGTCAGCACCCCCGGCCCGGCCCCCCGGCCAGTCCGCCCGGCCCAGCGCCCCCTCCCCGGCCGCGACGCGGCCCCAGGACGGCTGGAGGTCGCCGCCAGGGCCGGGCTGGCCGGCGCGCGCCCCCCGCCAGCCCTCGCGCCCTGGGCGCCGCCCGGCCGGCCTACCTTCAGCGCGCCGGCCCGTCCTTGCCGCAGCAGAAGCGGGGCCGCCATGGCTGGGTCGCGGGCGCGCCGGGCGAGGAGACGGAATATCGCGGAGTATCGCGTCACTGCGCGCGCGCCCCCGCCTGAAGTCCCGCCCCCGGGCCGAGCGCGCCAATCACAGGCGGGGACGGGCGGCGCGTGCCCTCGACCTCTGCGCGCGCGCGCCCGCTCCTGGTGTCCCGCCCCCTGGCCCGGTGCGCCAATCACAGGCAAGGACGGGGCGGAGCGGGCCTCGACCCCTGCGCGCGCCCCGGGGCCTGTGGGGCTCGGGCCTGTGGGGCTCGGGCCCGCGGCGCGGGGTGCGGGGAGGGGGCGCGCGCCTCCCCGGCGGCGCCCGCTGCGGCGCGGCGCTCCGTGCCGCGGGCCTCGCCCCCCGGGGTGCGGAGCCCCCCACCCCCCCGCGTCCTGCCCGAGCCCCCCGACGCACAGGCCGCGGGCGCCCGGGCACTTCCGGCCCCCGAGCCCGCTGCGCGCGCCGGGCGGGCCTCTGGGCCCCCTCCCGGCCGCACCCGCGCGGGCGCCTCGGTCACCTCCGCTCGCTGCCCTCCTGCGGGCGGGCCGGGCGCTTGCCGCGGGCAGGTCGGGCACGCCGGCCCGGGTCCGGGGCGAGGCCCGGCCCCGCGTGGGTGGCCTCCCGGCCGCCGTGGGGTCGTGCCGCCCCCCCCCGGGGGACACGGGCGCACGGACGGGGGGGGGGCCGGCAACGGTGCCTGGAGAGGGATGGGGACGGGGCCCAAGGCCCTCGCCAGCCGGGACGCTGGAGCCCAGCGGGCCCACGGCACCGCCACCCGCCCCGGACGACAGGGCCGCAGCCTTGGACCTGGGCGGGAGCGAGGAGTCCTTTGTCCCTAAAGCGTGTAGCGGTGCCCAAGAAGGGGACCCCGCCTTGCCCGGCGGTGGCTCTGGGCTTAGGAACTCGGGATACGCGGCCCGCGTTGCCCCCATTAAACCAGCACCCTGACCTGGAATTTGGGGCACGCGCCGGTCCACTCACAGAAAGCAACCAGTGCCCCGGGACTGGCTTCCAAAAGACCATCTCTCCCCGCAGGAGCAGGCGAGTCTCCCTTTTGTTGGCACTTCTCAGCCCTCGTGGATAGTGAGCGCACCTCCACACAGGGCTTCTCACGGGCCTGGCCCAGATGCGACTCCAGGGTTGCCGTTCTTCTAAAGACCCCAGATACAAGCTCTGCTTTCCCTTGCAGACAAAACTCTGACTCGCTGTTGGATTATAATATACAGGGAGAAAGGGAAAAAAACGGTCCCAACAGAGGAAGTATCCTTTGTGTGACACCTGGTTAACTTGTCTCCAGGGTTGCCTATATGCTCCTTCACAGGTGATTGAGGAGTTGGGAGGTGATAGGCCAGGGCTGCCAGGTGGGCACTGCTGGAAATGGCCAGTCCAGCTACCCTCCCCCAGCGGGGCTGAAGGGAAATGTCTGGCTGGAGTTGTACGGACTCAAGAACCAGCAAAATGAAAAGGCCTCCCCCAGGCCACTGGCAGGGTGGCGTGAGCAGGAGGCACAGATGGTTGGAGGAGCCCTCAGGGAGCCAGAGACCCAGTGGATAAAGGGAGTCATGTTCGAGGCTTTCAAAGCAGGAGCATGCTTGAGCAGGGTAGCTATGGCAGTGGTGGGGAACCAGGGTCTAAGGCCCAGGGATCGGCTGGGGAGCTGTTGCAGCCTGGGGAGCGGGTGCTGGCAGAAGTTCAAGGGACCAGAGGGAACACCCAGAGGGAGAGGCAGGGCCAGAGCATGAGCAGATTAAGCGCTGCTCAAAGATCACAGCAGCAGAGGGCCTCCCCGGGGGCGCAGCGGTTGAGCACTGGGTTGCGAAGCTGCCCGCAGCCTCTGCAGCGCCGATTCGATCCCCGGCTGCTCCCCGGCCACCGGAGGAGGGTCCCGCATGGCGCGCAGACCTCTCCTGCCGCCCGCTGCTCCCCTCAGCAGTGTCCTTCGGTCCTTCTGCCTGCTCTGCTCCCCGCTCTGGCTCTGGTGAATCCTCTCACCCTCCCGCGCTTCTGACTGTACCCAGTGCTTGTATGTATGTATATATAAATAAATAAATAAAAACACCACAGCAGCAGAGGCTGGAGAGAGGGTCGCTGGTTTCTCGCGTATTTGTGGAGGGGATTGTGTCCTGTTTTCCAGTCAGCTGGTAAACTGTAGCCTCGACCAGGACAGCAGGGCTTGTGCCTCCGACTGTGAATTCTCTGTCCGGATGTCCCTGCAGCTGTCACTGCTGCTCAAGGCGGAGACAGAAGAACAGACCCATTTTCAGACAAAACCTAACAAATTTATATTTGTGTCTCTCCATTAATTACATAAAGTCCAGTGTACACCACTAGAGCCCCCACTTGCTCTCCTAAAGACGAGCAAACTTGTAAAGATAACTGGAGGCTCATGTGGGCCAACCCTCAACTCAGAGGTGTGTGGTCTGAAGAGGAAAATAAAAGCACTGGGCAGCACACAGCCAGCGAGCTCAGGAGACCCGAGTGCCCATCTGATGGGCATATTCTCTTTAAGCCCCGAAGGAAATGGATCACACATTAGCTCCTGTGGCCCGGCGCAGCCCAGGCAGGGCAGTGTGGAGACTGAGTCTTCCAAAAATGAAAGCTGCGAGGGAGCCTCTCTGATCCAAGCCCTCAGATCCAAGAGCTTAAAACCAGCCTTGGGGAGCAGAGTGGGGGCTGAGTGTCAGTCCAGCGCATGGGGGAGGGCCACAGGGTGCTGAGCAGCCGCTAACACCCAATTTAGCACCAGGTCATCCTCAGCCTGGCCTGTGTCGTGGCACCTCCAGTGCCCTGGACACCTCTAGTGTCTGCACTGCCTCCCTGGAGGAGGAGGAATGTGAAGATGCATCTGGCATGTGGGGAGAGCTGCCCTGGCATGCGGAGCCCAGAGGAGGTGAGTCAGGGTGCTGTCCGAGCTACAGGGCGCACAGGGAAGGCAGAGGGCAGTGCAGAGTGGGGATAATCCCTGGGGAAAGGTTGGGCTGTTGGCTCATCCGCGTGTGGGCACTGCAGGCTGGGCTTGGGGCATGGGCTGGTGGGTCTCTGCATCAAGGGGAACCGTACCCTGGGCCATAGCTAAAGTAGTCCAGACGGTGCGCCACTGACTATGCCTCGTGGTGGATCAGATGAGACTCCGGGGATCTTGGGAGAGTGTTTGGAGTTGCAGAGATCTGAGCTCTGGCCCCCAGGACAGACATGAGCAGATTTGACCATGAAAATGGCCTCCGTCAGCCCTCCCTTCCTCCCGCCCTCCCTCCTTCCCACCTTTTGTGACTTTCGCTGCTGTTCCCATCAGCAGGGGAGTCCCAGTCCTTGGATTTTGTTGCCCTTGTGACTTGCTTGGGCCAACAGCCTGTGTCAGAAGTAGCAGCACCACCCCACGCCCGGAACACTGAGGCCTGGTGGGCCTTTTCTCAGCTCTGCTGCCAGGTGGACGGGCCTGGCGGTGGGGGCGAGAGGGCTGTGAGTGAAGACCAGCTGCCTCGGGCCCCCCTAGAGAGTCCAGTCCCAGAAGAGCCCCCAGCTAAGAGTGGCCCAAGTGTTGCCGCCAGTGAGTCGGGAGCCGCATGAGCACTGCTGCCCGGGCGGCCACCCTGTGACTTCTGAGCAGCGCTCCGAGGTGCGGGCGGGCAGCCGATGCCCTTCCCAGCAGCACAGCAAGCTCCTTCACAGGATTACAAAGCGAGATGGTACAAACCAAGAATTAATCTGCCCTCATTGTTTTGTGAGTTTCAGAGAAGACTTGGTTATCATTGAACTAGTCGTACTAAGAAATTAAAAAAAAAAATACCAACCACCACCACCACCCAGCCAAAGTCACAGAACTGAAATCTGAGCTGTGGCTTTTGGGTGAGGTGCAAAAGAAAACAGTAAAGCGTCCAGGCAGGCATCCTGGTAATGCCGGCGCCTGTGAGGGGCTCAGCTGTCAGGGCAGGGGTGGTAAAGCCACGGAGCCAGCACCCTGGCGGGAGCACGCAACACTATCAGCACAGAGCAAGAGCAGTCTGAGCGGCCCCCCTACTTCCAGCTGGACCCTCCATGGCCTTTGTTCTGCAATCCATAAGATTCATAAACCCTTTTCCTTCAGCGTGAGCACCTTTCACCTCGTTGCCTTTGGCCACGTGTTGCACTGGGGTGTACCTCACCCTCTTTGTGCAGTGGCCGGGGTCAGCTGTTTCCTGGGCATCCTGCCTCTCACCTGCCCGCCACTCCTAGGTAAGCAGCTGCGCCTTTTGCCAACTGGTCCTCCCATTTACACGCTGGGCATGGCTGAGGGCGCCCCTGCTCAGGCCAGGCCTTGGCCCAGGTCCTGGTGCCGTGATACAGACACCGGCAGGGAAGGCGGCCCGGAGTGAGCGGTGACTCCCCTCGGATGAAACTAATCAGCACGCAGAGACGCGGTGATGGGAGAACACCGCAGGCACAGGGACCGGCGTGTGTGAGGCCCTGTGGTCTGTCAGAACCGTGGGCCCCAGGGCGTCGGGCGTGGGGCGGGGCACAGGGGCCCCAGGGCGGAGCGGCCGGCACCCCGGCAGCTCGCAGGCAGGTTAGGGCTCCACCTTTGGCCCGGGAGCCGTGGCGTCACCTGCTGGCTTAGCGCAGGGGGTAAAGGGTGGGTTCTGGCCTGGGAGACCTCCCGGCGGCGGGGACGGGAGACAGGGTGGGGGCCGGCGAGCCGCGCCCTCAGTGCTGGGTTTTGGGGGCCGGGGGCACCTGAGTGAGCGGCCGAGCGGTGTGGGCCACGGCAACCCCGGGCTGAAGTCAAGGGGGAGCCCTTGGGCCGGAAAGCCCCCTGAGACTTTGGGGTGTCGCGACCCGGCTCTGTCGGGAGAGGCGCACCCCCCCGCAGCGCCCCGGCCCGGAGCGAGCCCGGCACCCCGGGCGGACGAGCGCTGGGCGGGGCCGACCGCGCCGCCGCGCGCATGCCCAGGGCCGGCGGCGGGGCGGGGCCTGGCGGCGGCGGCCGACGTCACCTTCCGGCGCCCGCAGGAAGCGGCGCGGCGGGAGCACGTGGGGGGCGCGGCGGGCGGGCGGGCGCATGGCGGCCGGCGCGGGGCTGGCGCTGTGCGGCCGGGCGCTGGTGGTGCGGGGCGGCAGTCGGTTCCTGGCCGCCTCCACTGCGAGCAGGTGAGGGCCGGGCGCGGCGCGGGACCCGGGCTCCGCGGGCGCCCGTCGGGGCTGGAGGCCGCTGTGTCCCCGCGTCCCCGGAGCTGCGCCTAGGGGGGCCCCCGCCCCCCGTCCCCCCGCCGCCCCGGGGCGCTCGCGCGTTCGCGGGGGCCCGTCCACTTTTTTCTCGCCCCCTCGTCCCTGACTGACCACGGCGCCTGGCCGGGCCGTCGCGGCCCGTGGCAGCTTGGCGGCGTCCTCGGGCGGGTCGCGCGGGCCGACGCCCGGCAGCCGGGGTCCGTGTCCAGACTGGAGGTTCGGGCTGCGGGGGGAGGAGCGGGGCCCCTGGTCTCCCTGCCGGAGGCCTTCACGCTTCGGGAACTGGCTCTTCGCCCCGTCCCCGCGGCGGCGCCCGCCCTGCCCGCGCGCCTCGTCCCCGGCCCTGCTCGGGCGGAGGTTTTCTTGGACATCCCCGTACTCGGAGGCGCACCCCGTGCCCGAAACGCGCCCCTTCTAGTGGGTCTGCGGTTTGTGTTTTCCCTAATTTCACGCTCTGCCTTGTGCCCCAACACCGGCATTTTAAAATGAATAATTTGTTTGGAGATTTATTTATTTTTATACAAGAGCCGGGGTGAGAGGATTCACCAGGGACAGAGTGGGGTGACTGAACAGGCAGACGGACTGAAACACTGCTGGGGGGAGCAGCGGGAGACAGGAGAGGTCTGCTGCGCCATGTGGGTAGCTCCCTGGCCAGGGGGGGGAATCGAACCCACACTGCAGAGGCTGTGGACAGCTCACAGCGCAGCGCTCAACCCGCTGCTCCACCGTGAGGCCTGGTACATGTTTTTTGATCGAATTATCTTGGCTGGAATGGTGGTCACTGTTAGTCCACTGTTTCCTTTCTCCGTGTAGTTCTGATTTTTTCCTACTTGAAACAGACCACGTGTCTATCAAATCTCCATGCTCCTGGTTTAGTGTTTGGTTTCAGAAATTCAATTGGATGCTAAATTCAGATTTCACAAATTTACGAAACTGACTGGTATCTGTTACCTGTTTTGTTTTAGATAGTGAGCCATGGGCTCGTTACACAGGACCTGCTCACTTACATCTTTACCTTTTGAGAAAGTGCAGTGACTAGCCATGTTTCTGTCTTGAAGGACAACCTGTATACTGTAGGCCCTGTGGGAGAAGAGTTCAGGCACAGTCGTTTTAAAAACTGCCTTCCGGGCCTCCCTGGTGGCGCAAGGGGTTAAAACGCAACCTATGAAGCTGTCCGCAGCCACTGCAGCACGAGTTCCGTCTCTGGCCAGGGAGCTACCCACGTGGCGTGGCAGACCTCTACTGACTTGCCTGCTGCTCCCCTCAGCAGTGTATTTCAGTTGATTTGCCTGTTCTGTTCCCCACTCTGTCTTGGTGAACCCTCTCAACCCCTTCACCTCTGGCCTGTGCCCCAGTTCTTGTATGCATAAATAAATAAATCTTTAAAAAAAACCCCAAAACTGCCTTCCCTGTGCCAGGTACTGCAAACAGGGTGGGATAAACCAAAGAGAGCTTAGGGTCTGGTAGGGAAGATGAGCGACTCCTGTGTTGGTAAGCGGTTGGCAGTCCTGGGAACTCTTTTGGGTAAGTGAGATGTTTTTTTCTGAACAAAAAATGGCAGCTTTAAATTTGGATGAAAAAACCCATTGAAAACAATCCTAAATTCTTCTAACAATTATCTTGGCATTGATTTTCTAGTACCTGGAAGAATAGGATGTTATTTCCTATTGAATTTTTATCCTATTTATTTTACTTAGTTTTTTTGGGGACAGAAACATGTCAATTTGTGGCAGATCTAATTAGATTAAACAAATAAAGCTCTTTACTGTTCCTTAAAATAGCTATCCTGACAAAATGTTAATGACTAGATATCTCGTATGGGGGGAGTCTGCATTTTTATGAACAACATACTCCTCCTAAAGTCTTCCTGTTTTTTTTTACAGTGATGACGACAGCCCCTTCACGTATGACTGCAGTTCTGCCGAGAAGCCACAAGAGAATAAAGGGTGAGGTGGGAGCTGTCTCGGGGGTCTGAGGTGTGGTTGCATAGTAGGAGGTGTAGCCTGGGTAGTAAATGGGCTTACTTGCTGAATTCTTCATTTCTCTCTCCCAACTGTGTGGAGAAACCAGGTACCACCACCATAGGAAAGAAAACGGCACTCATTTTTAAATTAGGCTTTACGTATGGAAGCAACCTAAATGCCCCAGAACGGATGACTGGATCGAAAAGATGTGGTCTGTACACACAATGGAATAATATTCAGCCATCAAAAAGATTAACTCATGCCATTCGCAGCAACATGGGTGGCGCTGGGAGGGCTGAGGCCGAGTTGCCTAAGTCAGAAGGGAGAGAGAAACAGCGGGTGGTCTTAGCTGAGGAGCATGGGGAAGTCAAATAAGGGCTCGCGAGAAAAAGACAAAGCTAGCAGGAGAGCTGTAAAGGGGGCCATTCGGCTGGGGAGGGCTGGGAGAGGGTTGCGACGGGAGGGAAGAGCCCCAGAGTCTGTGCTGGCGGTTCGCGGGTGTCTTGGTTGGGGGGACTTTTATGGGGATTACACCTGAGAGGAGACGGAGTGGTGGTGTAAAAAATATGTAAATAAAAAAGTCACAAAAAAATCAATTAGACTTTAAGACTGTCAGGACTTTTGTAAGTACTTTCAATTTGTCTCGTCAGTCATCAGCGCATGGAGACGTGCGGGTTCACTGCAGCCGAGCGAGAGGCGAGTGTGGTCGCTTTGTCTGATTTAGCGGCACTGGCACTGGTCTGGCAGCTCATTTCTTCCTTAGGACGATTTTTTTTTTTTTAAGATTTATTTTATTTACAAGAGCCGGGGTACAGGCCAGAGGCGTGGGAGGGTGAGAGGATCCACCAGAGACAGAGCGGGGAGCAGAACAGGCAGACTGACGAAATCCACTGCTGAGGGGAGCAGCAGGCGAGACAGGAGAGGTCTGCTGTGCCATGTGGGACCCTCACCGGCTGGCTGGGATCAAACCAGCGCTGCAGAGGCTGCAGAGCTTCACAGCACTGCGCTCAACCGCCTGCACCACCAGGGAGGCCCCTTATGACTGTCTGATTCACGTCAGCTCTGACACGCTCACTGAGTCTGGTTTAATTAGATTTGCTTTTTTTTTTTTTTTTTTTTAATAGAGGCATGCTTTATTTATTTGTTTGCTGGTTTTGTTTGTTTGTTTTTGTTTATACAAGCACTGGGTACAGTCAGAAGCGCGGGAGGGTGAGAGAATTCACCAGAGCCAGAGCGGGGAGCAGAGCAGGCAGAAGGACCGAAGGACACTGCTGAGGGGAGCAGCGGGCGGCAGCAGAGGTCTGCGCGCCGTGTGGGACCCTCCTCCGGTGGCCGGGGAGCAGCCGGGGATCGAACCGGCGCCGCAGAGGCCGCGGGCAGCTTCGTAGCCCAGCGCGCTCAACCGCTGCGCCACCGGGGAGGCCCAGATTTGCTTCTTAAAGACTGGAACTGTTCGGCCGCGCCCACACCGCGCGCAGGTGGCGGGATCTCCTGCCACGCCTCCCTACCTGCTCGCTGGCTCTGCCTGGCTGGCGGCGCGGTGGGGTGGGCGCCTTAGTTACCTGGGGTAACTAACCCTTGTCTTAACCTAACCCTTGTCTTCCTCTCTTCCCCAGGGAGGATGGACAGCCCGTGGGCAAGGGCGGCGACACGATTCTGGCGTCCACCTTCTCCAAGTCGGGCAGCTATTTTGCTTTAACTGATGACAGTAAGCGTCTGATTCTTTTCCGTACAAAACCATGGCAATGTCTGAGTGTCAGGTATGGAATGCTAACGTTGAACCTCACCGCGGCGCCACGCGCACAGCTCACGCTTGCATGCCAGTAGCCGTAGCGACGTGACTAACACGTGTCCTGACTGCGCTGCCGGGCACTGTTAGTAGCGCTTTGCGTCAGTTAACCGAATCAGTCCTGGTAACAGACAGGCCTTTTGGGGGCCTGGGGCCTTGATGGGTTCTCACCTACACCTGCTGCGGGTCTCACCTACACCTGCTGCCCTGGTATCTGGAGTCGATCTTGTCAGTCGGCCCCGAAGGCAGGGCCAGGCCCTGAGCCTGATGCCAGCAGCTCCAGGTGGGTACCCCTGGCCCCTGGGCTGCCCTGCTTTGCACACAGATCCTCCAGCCCACGACGGTGGATGCGGGAAGGTCCGCCCACTGCTTGAGAGTGGCAGGTTTTGTGTGAGACTTTGAGCCTGGGTTTTAACCTGGCTGGGTTAATTTTGCGTGACTGCATGTCTTTCTAAGCACCTGGACAGGGGCCTACTGATGGGGGCTGCAAATCAGTATCTCCACAAGAATGTAGGTTCTGTGGCCTTGGTGTTCCCTCTGGCCCAGCAGGGTGCTTGCTCTCTGCTGCGGCCACTGTCCGGGGCGCGTGCCGCCACCTCCTTGTCTGTCGGCTGTGCCTTTGGGGCGCAACTGGGTGACGCTGACCTGGGCGCAGCACAGGTGAATAGTGTTGGCTCTCAGAGTCTCCTCCTGTGCAAGTTATTCCCCTCCCGGGTGGCGGTGTCCCTGGCATCGAGGGTGACACCTGCCGGCAGCAGAGGTAGCCCTCCCCCTCCCAGGCCACAGGCCACCTGCCAGACTGCCGGCACCACGGGTTACAGAGTTGGGGCTCCCCGGGACAGCATGCCTCCCACTTTGTGTGTCATCTCAGTTTTGAGAGACGCGTAAAAGCCAAACTCCAGGTGGCATCGAAAGCGAGGAAACCCACTTTGCCTTCTGCGCAGTCAGGTAGAAAGTGAAGTCTGCTGCCGGGATTTCTTTTTTGTTTTTTGTGTTTTTCTGTATCAGGTAGACACCTGTGATGTAAGAGTTTAAAGCAAAAAACTGAAAGGTTTCCGGTGAAGTGTCACATGGCAGGTACAGCTAGCCATGGGGAAGCTTCCACATACGTGTGCTTCCCTCGACTCCTGCAGGCCCTGTCGTCCTGAACTGGGAGGCCCGAGGCGGTGTCTGGCCCAGGGAGCAGCCCTCAACCCAAGGAGCTGGGGTCCTCAGGACTCAGGGTGGGCGCCGTGGACGTTTCTCCTGTGGGTCAGGGCCAGTGCCAGTGCCGTGGCTCCAGCTGCTGCCATCCCTGCCGGGGAGAGGAAGGGCCGCGGCCTTGGCGGCCAAGCAGTGGCACGCTGAGGGTACAGGGCCACTGTCGGGCTGCCAGCGGCTCGGCTGGGCGGGCCTTTGTCCTTGGGTGCTAGAGGCTGTGGTCCAGGTAGGCGTGGCAGGGCTGGCTCTTCCTAGGCCTCTGCGGGGCTTGTTGGCCCCACGCTGCCTCTGCGCGTGGCCGCGCCTCCCGCGTGCTTGCTCCCTCGCCCGGCGCTCCGGGGTCTCTCTCGGGACGCCAGTTCTGCCCCTCATTAAGCCTTTTTTTAAAATTTATTTATTTATTTATTTTTTTAATAGAGGCATGTTTTATTTATTTATTTTGTTTGTTTGTTTGTTTGTTTTGTTTATACAAGCACTGGGTACAGTCAGAAGCGCGGGAGGGTGAGAGGATTCACCAGAGCCAGAGCGGGGAGCAGAGCAGGCAGAAGGACCGAAGTACACTGCTGAGGGGAGCAGCGGGCGGCAGGAGAGGTCTGCGCGCCATGTGGGACCCTCCTCCGGTGGCCGGGGAGCAGCCGGGGATCGAACCGGCGCTGCAGAGGCCGCGGGCAGCTTCGCAACCCAGCGCTCAACCGCTGTGCCACCAGGGAGGCCCTCATTAAGCCTTGATCGCTTCTGCTTGGGCCCCTCCCCCAGCTCAGCAAGCCCCGGAAGGATGTCCCGATAGGATGTTGGCGCGCGAGGACAGGTCAGCTGTCTGCATGGCGACCTGCTCCCTTCCACGTCTTTTCGCTTCAAGCTGCAGTTTCCAGGCCCGGTCAGTGATGTCCAGTGTGGGCTGACCATGCCGCATTCTGAGGGGGGGGGCTTTGGATTCCAACATGAATTTTGGGGGACACCATTTTGCCCTTAACAGTTGTGAGCCTTGCCTCGTTACATTGGCTGCTCAGTTGATAGCTGGGATATTCGTGGCTTCCGACAGTCTCAAAGTGGGGGGTCTGCCCAGAGGCGGTAGAGACATGGTTGGAAGTGAAGGCTGGTTGGACAGCGCCTCTGCACGCCCATGGGTGCCCGTGGAGCGGGATTGACTCTCCCTGGGCTGGGCCGGGCGCCCTGAGCTCTGGCTGCAGACGCCCAGGCCCCCGTTGGAGTCGGGCTTGCCTCCCAGGATGGCTTGAGTTGGCAGCTGGCTTTGGGCGGGGGTCTGGGGGTGTGGGGCTTAGACCTGGCCAGGAGAGGCCAGGGTCTTCAGGATGAAGTTGTGGGGGTGCTAGTGCTGGAGGCCCAAGAAGCATCAGTGCAGGCAGAGGCATCGGGATTCCTGGTACTGATCCCTGGTACTGCTCCCCACCTCTCTGCTGAGGGGTGTTCCGGTGCTCACTGGTTCTGCATCTTCAGAAAGCACTTTCCATACGAGGTGGCGTGTTTCAGTCACCTGTGGAAGTTCCCAGGAAGGAGCCTCCAGGCCCTGAGCTGTGTGTGTGCAGCTTAGGAGGAAGGCCCCGCACCGCCCCGGGGCTCTCTCCTCCCCCAGAAGCCCTCACATCCCACCCGGACAGCACAGGGCCGCGTCACACCACGCGTGTCTAAACCAGCTGTGGACAGTCTGGTCGGAGACACGGACTGCGCGCGGCCTCACTTTGAGCCTCGTACCCGCTGCGTGGCACCTCCTTACTCGATCCCATGTCCCTGTTTGTTCTAGGCGAGCCCATCTACCCAGATTTTGCCCCACTGGCTCTTGGTGACAGAGCGCTGGGTGGGAAGCCCTCGGGCGTGGTTGGCCAGGGCCTGCCATTCCCCAGCCCGGGTGGCTTGTGTCTCCTGGCGGGGACTTGGCTGGGAACGTCCTGCGGGCGGCAGAGCAGAGAAATCGAGCTGACGGGTCCCTCGTCTGTCCGACTCCTCTGGGGAGGGTGTGTTGTCCCACCAGCCACTTCCCCCTTTAATTTCTTAGGTCGTGCAGAGTGGGCTCCCGCGGAGGCGCGGGCCAGGGCCAGGCGGAACTCGCCCGGAACCGCCTCTGCAGGTGTGACTCGGGGAGGTGCTGTACCCCCAGGCCCCGCCAAGGCGTGCGCTCAGTGCCTGAGTGGCTGCACGGTTGCGTCTGCTGAGGTCACCTCGTCCCTGTTGTGGGGCGCCTGGGTTGGTCCTGGAGCCCCCTGTTGAAACGATGCTGTTTGCCTGGGGCCGGAGCCGGGGCTGGGACTGGAGGGCCGGCCACAGCGTGCTGCCCTCGCTGTCCCCAGGGCTGCACTTAGGTTTGATGATTCCCGAGGGGGACTCAGAACTCAGGGGCCGGGACAGATGCAGACTGCCGGGACAGAGGCTGGCCAGGGCCGGGCCCACGGACTGGGCCCAGGAAGGTCTCCGGGGTGGCCAGGCGATCGTGCCACGTTGGTGTGGACAGCTGGGGCCCCATCATAAGTCCTAGCGTGCCCGTCCCTCGGGCCCAGGGCCCCTGGTGAATGGAGGCACGCCTCCTGGAGATCCCACGGGGGTGTGCCCACGCTAGGGCTCTCGCCCTGCTGTCCCTGTGGGTCAGGATCACCCTTGCTGCTGGGGCGGGGTGCAGCTGGCCGCCGGGTGCCCTGAGCCGGAGTGCCAGGCACTACCCAGTAGGTGCAACCCTGAGCTGCCAGGAGGCGGCATTCGGCTTAGCTTTTCACCTGTGCTTTCCCCGCTCCTGGGTCGCGCCATCTTAGCTTGGGGACGGGGTGTCCCCAGAGCCCTCCTGTGCCCCTGGGGTTCCTGGGGATGGAGCATGCAAGGCAAGGAAAGATGGGCGTCCAGGGCTCCTGGGGCAGCTTTTTCTGTTCTAGAAGGGTCCAGCGTGTGCAGGGTCTGAGGGGGGAAGGGCGACGGCTCCCACCCTCACGTGGCCGGGGCGATGTCGGGCATCAGGGGCCGTTGTGGGGTCCGCGCTGTGCTGCCGTGTCCTGTCTGTCGAGCCCTCTTTCTCCCTTCACCGTCTCCCGAGTGGGCACCCTGGGCGGTTTCTCTGGGGGGGGAGTGGCTGTGGGGGGCGGGAGGGTGCGGCCGCTGAGGGTGTGCGGGGGCCGAGCGGCGTGGCTCACTCTGCGGCACGTCCCCTGAGGGCTCGCAGGGACGCCGAGATGGGCGCTGGGGGTCTGTCTGTCTTCAGAGCAGGGCTTCGCAACAGCTAGACCGGGACCCGGGCACGCCGGAGCGGCGCTGACCAGGGGACGGGAGGGCCAGGCCTTGCGGTGGTCACTCTCTCGGGAAAGGCGGGAGGGGCGGAGCAGGAGTCCCCTGGGTTTGTTCCCCCCCCGGGGTCTGCAGAGGAGGGGTCAGGCCACTGGACCGGGGCCGGGGGAGGGGGCGGCCCCCTCTGTGCAGCCGTGAGTGGGTGTCTCAGGAGGTAGGCCCCGGAGCGCGGCTGCTCGACTGGGTGCCAGGCTGCCGGAGGGTGGAGGGTGGAGGGTGCGGGAGCCCTGGGCCCTCGGGGCCAGGAAACCACCTCTGGGCTGCAGCCCATGGCGAAGGGTGGCGGGACCCTGCCTCTGCCCCCAGGCGCCCTCCGGGGAGATGCCCCTCACCCTCCCGGCCACACCTTGCCCCCATCTGTGACCCGACTCCCTGGCACCCCAGCCCCTCCCCACAGCTGAACTGCATCTGGGATTCACTCCCAGGGTGAACTTGGTCCTGAGATCACAGAGACACAGGTGCGCGATCGTGGGTCATTCTGCGCTGTGCTGGGTGGGAGGGACCCCGTGGGGGCTCGCCGCCTCCTGGGGCGGTGATCTCATTGGCACTCAAGCCCGTCGCCTGAGGGCCTGGCACCACCCCCTGCACGCCAGGCAGCTGCTCCCGCGCCCAGAGCCTGTGGCCGCTGGGCTGCTGGGATTGCAGCCTGCGCCCGGAATTTTGATTAGCCTTCCCCCGGGCCTGATTGTCTTTCTTCCGCCGTTGTTTTCTCTCCACGTTTGTCCCGTTGCGCCTCCTGTCCGCTGCTCCCCCGGCACCGGCCGTGGGGGAGGAGGAGACGCACTGGCAGAGGCCCAGAAGCAGGGCTGAGCCCCCCTCCCTGCCCCCGTTCCCGGAAGTGGGGCTCCCGGGCTGGCCTTGACGCGCCGGTGTCCCTTTTAAGCTGACGTCTCGGGAGCGGGTCCCCTGCACACCCGGGGGTGACGGCGCTGCCGGAGAGCAGGACGCGGCGCTCGCCTGCCCGAGGGAGCGGGAACGTGCGGACCTGCCCGGGGCGCGCTCGCTGCGTGGAGGCGATTCCAGGAGAACCGAGTGGAGCGAGCAGACGGGAGGCGCAGCTGGCGCGCGGGCGAGCTGGTTTTCATCAAGACCTCCCCCGGCCCCGGCTCCTGGCGTCCTGCCGAGTTGCCTCCGGAAGGCGAGCCCCCTAAATTCAGGGCTGCCTGCAGGCGATACAGGCGGGGCTTGGTCCAGTGACAGGGCTGGCCGCGGAGTTGGCATGTCCGCTCGGGGTCCGGGCCGGGCGCTCTGGCAGCAGGGGCCGGCCCGAGTGGGCGCCTTTGGCCTCGACCGCGGTGTTTGAAGCTGACCGCGGCCTTCCCGCCCGTGGCCGCGGAGGTGCTGGGGCGGGATCCCTTCCCTGGGCTTTCCCGTGATGTGCGCCCACTCGGCAGAGCCAGCTGGGCCCCCACCCCCTTGCTGTTCGCAGCCGCTGCTGTAAAGACGAGCCTGAAGGCGGCCTGTCGGGCTCGGCCCGCCCACTCCTGCTGCGCGGTGCCCCCGGCGGCCGCCCTGGGCCTGCGCCGACCGCGCCTCTCCCCGCAGGACGGTGGTGCGGAGATGCACGGCCCTGACCTTCACGGCCTCCGAGGAGAAGGTCCTGGTGGCGGACAAGTCTGGGGACGTTTACTCCTTCCCGGTGCTGGAGCCCCGGGGCTGCGGCCACCTGGAGCTCGGGCACCTGTCCATGTTGTTGGATGTGGTGAGTGGGGCGCCGCGGGTGGAGGCGGGCGTCTGGGTGGGGGCGCCTGCCTCCCGGGGCCGGGAGGGCCGTGGGAGCCGAGCTGGGGCAGGAGATGGCGGCTGGGACGCGGCGGAGACTCCAGACTGAGCCCCGCGTGGACGCGAGCGCTTGTCCTCCCTGCGTCCGGGTCAGATCGGTGTCCTTCCGGCTCCGAGGCAGGAGCTGCCGCTTCCCTGGTGGCCCAACAGGCAGCCCCAGCTGCGGCGGGGCTGGTGAGGGACAGTCACTGGGATGCGGGGCCGCGGAGAGGCGGGCGCCACCGGAGCTGGGCGTGTCGGGTTGGGGCGTCAGGCTGCGGCCGGTCCGCGGCCTCCCGGTGGACGGCCAGGAAGGAGGGCTGGCGATGGGACTGGAGGGCGCTGGGGTGCCGGCCTCCCCGTGAGTGACCTGTCCCCCCCACCCCCGCGCACAGGCGGTGAGCCCTGACGACCGCTTCATCCTCACCGCCGACCGGGACGAGAAGATCCGGGTCAGCTGGGCCGCTGCGCCGCACAGCATCCAGTCCTTCTGCCTTGGGCACGCCGAGTGAGTGTCCCGGCCGGCTGGGCTCCCGCCCCGGGGCCTTGGGGGTCAGTGCGGAGGTAGCCGGTCCTGCTTTGGAAGCTGGGGCCAAGGGGGAGGTGGCTGCTGGACACCTGGCCTCGGGGCTTGGCTTGTGGGTGAGTCGCCCGGGGCCTTTGGCCCTTCAGAGCAGGCCTGAGGGCTTGTCCCTGGAGGATTGCTCTCGAGGGCGCAGGGCCAGGGCGCAGGTGCGGGCAGAGGTGGGGAGCTCCTGCAGCCATTGAAAGATTGACTGCGCCGAGCCCGGGGGTTGTCACGGGGTGGGGTGGGGCGCAGCGGCTCTTCTGCAGAAGCACCTGCCCGGCAAGGCCCGCGGCCGTCGCCAGAGGAGGCGCGTGGCTTAAGCGCGGCCGCGGGGCTCCTCTCCCAGGGCTTCCTGCTCTCTGGCCTGGGGCGGGGGACGAGGGTCGAGGCACCTTCTGGCTGCTGCTGGGCTCCTCTGGCCTCTGGGCATCCGGCCAGCGTGCGGGCTCCTGGCCACTGACCCTCTCCCCCCGCAGGTTCGTCAGCTGCATCTTCGTGGTGCCCGACTGGCCGCACCTGCTGCTGTCCTGCTCCGGGGTGAGTGCGCCTGCCCGGCAGCGGCTCGGCCCCGCGTGTGCCGTGGCCTCCTGGGCCCCCGAGTGCGCACCCAGGCCTGCTGCTGCCGCTTTGGGCTCTGCGTTTGCTCCGTCAGTTGCACCCTCCATAGCTGGACGTGGGTGTGGCTCGCGGGACTCGAGCCTGGTGTCCGGGGCACGTCTGCTCAGACACGGAGTCACGCTGCTCGGGGGTTCCGGGACAGACGTGGGCCCGGCTGGGCCAGTCTCCCGGGGTGGCGCCCCTGGCAGTGCCATGTGGAGGACTGCGGCGCAGAGCCCTTCTCCGCGTCCTCGAGCGCCGAGGCTCCTGCTGCACAGGTCTGCCCGCCGCGGGCAGTACCAGGGCACTCCTAGGCCACGCGGGGACTCCCCTGCCCTCTCCTCATCAGCCGGGGTGACGCTGTGCGGACAGCAGCCCATGGGGGTGCTGCAGAGCTTCCGGGAGCCTCCCTCGTGGTCTGCAGGCCTGTGTGCGCAGGATGCAGGCGTGGGCAAGCGCACGTGTGCCCACGCATACAGAGGTGCGCATGCTGCTGGCCTGAGTGTGGCAGGCGTGGTCTGACGCTGTCTGTGTGCCTTGCCCTCTGCCCTGGAGCCGCCGTGTCTTGTGGCCACTGGCACCAGCGCGCTCTCAGCCAGCACTGGGGGGTGGGGAGGGTGCGGGTCGCGGTCCCGCGGGCCGGGCACAGAGCGGGCGCTGAGGGTGCCTTGTGCGCAGGACTGCACCCTGAGGCTCTGGGAGTACACGAGTGGCCGTGAGCTGCACTGCTGTCCCCTGACCAGCCCGCAGGAGCCGGGGGAGCCCCAGGACAAGGTAAACTGCCTGCTTTTATCTCGCTGGTTGGGGACAGGCAGGACCTGCTCCCACCACCGGATCCTGTGGAAAAGGTCCCCTGGGCTTCAGCTGACGTTTCCAGGGGAGCAGGTTTGGGTTTTCTGGATCTGTGGGTGTCTTGAAGCCACTGGGGTCCAGGTGGTGGTGCCAGGACCAACCTGCAGCTTCTCTGGGGTGGGTGGGTGGGGCTGTCATCAGGGCCCTGTGCTCTGTCTGGTGCCCCGGCCACCCCTGGTCTCATGTGCATGGAAGGGCCCCCTCCCCCCACCCTGGCCGGTGCCTCGTCTGCCCCGCTCCTGGTGGGTTGCTGCTGGCCTGGATAGGGCTCAGGCAGGCCGGCCAGGCCTGTGATGCCCGCCTAAGGGCCGCCAGGGCCGCCAGGTCAACTGCATCCCACTGCCCTGGCTGCCTGGAGGAGCCTGGCCCGTGTCCTCCGCCAGGGTGCGGGGCCCCTCAGGCGACGGTGCCTGAATCTCACCAGGTCTCACCCTCCTTGCTCTTTGGCCAGTTTGCCAGTCTGGAGACTCCACTGCGCCCGCCCCGTGCGTCAGTCACGGAAGCAGTGGTCTCCCGACACCTGTCCTCCCCTCGCTGCCCTCCAGCAGCTCTCAGCGCTCCGCCCTCTCTGGGGCGCGGGGGCATCAGCGCCCTCTTGCTCGGGCTCAGCCGAGTGGCTCTGACGTGCGGTCCCCTTCCCTTGCAGAGGCTCGCGGCCTCCCGCATCGCCTACTGGAGCCGGGAGAGCTGCGTGGCGCTCCTGTGTGACGGGTGAGTGGCCGTGCCCGACTCAGGCAACAGGGTGGGCCAACGGGGCTGTCTGCAGGGGCTCTCACCGGGCGAGGTGCCCCGGTGGCGGCCACGTGCTGACGTGCTCCTCCCGGGCAGTGCGCCTGTGGTCTCCATCTTCCACCTTGACGTCCCCGGCCAGCGCCTGGCATTTGTCCAGCACCTCTCTTTCCAGCACCGAGTGTGGGACATCGGCTTCCAGGAGAGCCAGGGGCTGTGGGTGCTGCAGGGCTGCCGGGATGCCCCCCTGGTGCTCTGTAGGCCCACGGGCGGCCAGTGGCAGGTAAGGCGTGCGGGCCCTGCTGGCACCTCAGCCCGGGGTGGGTGGTACCTGCCTCACCTCTATGCCGGGGGTCTGTCCCGGGGGCGTGGGTGATGGTTGGGGCCTGGCCACCCCGGCATGTTCTCGTGATCGTCTGTCACATGTCTCTCTGGCAGAGGTGGTGGCATGTGCATGGCCTTGGCCTTGCAAGAGCTGAGCGCCACCTGGCTCCTGTGCCAGGTCCTGCTGGGCTGAGGGGAACTAGGGATCCTCCCTGGGAGGTGAACCCTGTGCCTTCTGAGTTAGCACCCCGCGGTAAAGTGGGGGTATTGTTTCCCATCCCACCCGCCACGTCTCACAGACTTGCTGCGGGGGGAATCGGTGCTCTGTGGAGACTTGCACCCTGCAGGGGTGACCTGACCGGGGCTTGGGGGACACCTGAACTCTGAACCCCGGCTGGGGAGATGCTGGTTCCTGTGCTCTGCATCGCCTGATGAGCCTGGGCAGCGGCAGCCCCAGAGCGGTGGCTTCCCAGTGGGCTCGGCCCACCCTGCGGGGTGAAGCAGCAGGCTCCCTGGGGGTTCCAGCCCTGCCCGTCGTGACAAGCTCTCCGTCTCCCCAGCCCGTTCCCGAGAGCGCCGTGGTGGAGAGAGTCTGCAGCCTCCTCCAGGGAAGCTGGGCCATGCTGGAAGGTGAGACAAGCGCAGCGTTCAGGAGGCGCCCCATGCTGGCCAGGCAGAGCTGGCCCGGGCGGGGTGCCGGGGGGCGCCTTGTGAGTTTGGGGCATGTGCCCTCCCAGGGCAGGTGGCTAATGGGGTCTCTGAGGACGCAGCAGAGGGCGTGCTGCCAGTGACCCTGGTTGGCTGGAGCAGCTGCCACTGCTGCTCATGGCTGGGCCAAGGCTGGGCAGGCCTTGATGGGCCCTCAGACTCAGCAGGTAGGCCTTGGCGCCCCGGCTGCTGGTGCTTCCAGCTGGGACATTGGGCAGGGGCCCTCCAGGGGCACCTCCCAGGGCCTGCCTGGCCACCACCGTGTCTCTAGGAAGCCCGGGGAGGGCGGAGGAGACCAGGCTGCGCTGCCTGTGGCGGGTTAGGACTGCGTCTGTGGGTGCAGGCAAAGGGTGGGTGCGGGCAGCACCCGGGTGCCCACAGGGTAGTGTCCTGCCTGCCCGACTGCCGCCGGAGCCGTGCACAGGACTTGGATGTGGGTACTCCAGGGCCGTCGGGTGGGGTGCCCTGGCCCCCTGCCTGTGCGGGGGGGCCTCAAGGGCTGGGCCTTGAGCGCTGACTTTGCTCCACCCACACAGGCCCCACCAGTGAGGACGCCGGCTACCGCGGCCTCTACAAGGCCACCTTCGATAACGTGACCACATACCTGAAAAAGAAGGAGCAGCGGTTGCAGCAGCAGCTGGAGAAGAAGCGGCGCCAGAACCCACCACCTGGGCCCAACGGGAAGGCCAAGAAGCCGAGGCCTGGCGAGGCAGCCCTGGGCGGCTGCTCCTAGCGGGCAGGGTTAGGCCAGGCCAGCCAGCGCGGCGCTGCTCCCACCCCCGGCAGTGGCTCCCTTGAAGAAGGGGCATTGGGTCTTAGGAGCTCAGTGGACGGCCGCATCCGGGGCCCTGGAACATTCCACTGCTGAGCAGAGGCTCTTGGCTGCAAGGACACCATGCAGCGTGTTAGCCGGCCTCGCCCCTGTCCTGGGTGCCCCCTCGGGGACCGCGCACAGCGGGCGGTGGCCTCACTGTGTGCCTGGGCCTTCCTTCCCGCAGCCCGCGCCGCCCAGCCCGGTAGCCCTCACCAACCTGGAGCCCTGGGGCGGCCGGCGCAGCTGCAGCGCTTCCCCGGGTGGCGCCTGGGACACAGGCCTGGGGCTCCTGCTCGTGTGGGACGGGCCTGGCTGGACGCGTCCTTCTGCCTGTTCATTATTTCAACTCGGCTGTGCTCGCGCCTCCGAGAGCCGGGCCCTGCTGAATTCCCGTCGCCAGGCGGCAGAGATGGGCTTTTTGTGCAGCTTCTGGAAATAAGAGCAACACGCAGACCCACGCCGGCGAGCGTGCTGGCTGACCGCTGTGTCCACCTCTGGGCTTGGGCGTGCAGGCCTGGCCGCTGACAACCTCCTGGTGACCCGTCTCCAGTGCGGGGAGCTGGCTGCTCGGGGCCGCTGGCCCGGGTGCTGAGCAGCAGCGCGTGCGCACCAGAGCAGGGGTGCTACCTCCTGCCTCGCTTCTCACGGGGCCCGCAGGGAGCTGCTGGGGGCCCTCTACCTGCCCCCACCACCGGTGGGTTTGAGCAAAATTGAAAGCAGGGGTGCCCGGGTAGAGTGGGGGTGCCTGGCCACGGACTTCCCGCCCTGTCTCTCTCCCAGATGGTGTTCCCCTCGGCCCAGGACACACCTGGGGGGCCCAACAGGGTCGGGGTGCTTCTCTGCAGCGTCCCCTCCCGTCTTCACAGGGCTGTGTCCTTGTAGGTCCGCAGCCTCCTTGGGGGCCTGGCTGCGCATCCCCGGTGGCAGGAGCGGCTTCCCCCCGGCCCCCAGTCTGTAACGAGCAGAGAACAACGGCATTGCTCAGCACAGGCTCCGCCGAGGGGCCACAGCCTTGGGGGCGTCGGGTGTGGCCCCCGGGTCCTGCCTCTGGGGGTCGCGCCCGGGCCGGCACGGCTGCAGCTGTCCCAGTCGGCTCTGGCTGGTCCACCTGCCCCGGCCTCGGCGCCGCCTGCTGGAGACGCGCAGCAAGGAGCTGGCCCTCCCTGCCCTTCGGCTGCGTTTCGCTGGTTTGCATCGTTTTACTTTTTGGGGTATCACTTGGGCCTTGTTCCAACTCATGTATTGATTAAAAATGAGTTGATTTTGATTAAAACTGGTTTTCTTAATGCCAAGCGCTTCCTCACCCTTCTCGAGTCAGGGGCCGCACACAGCAGGGACTGGAGGTTTGCCCACCGCGGGCGGGCCCCGGACGGTGCCGCCAGCTGCAAGTCCCCCCAGCTCTTCCCTAGCACCCCCGCCTGGCAGCGAGGCCAGGCTGACAGCGCCAGCCCCTGCGTGAGCCGTGGCCTCTGCGGTCAGGGTGAGGGGCCCCGGCCGGTTCCCGCGTGCTGCCCGGTGGGCCCAGCCCCTCAGTGGGGCACAGCGCCCGCTCGGCCTCCCCCCACCCCCGCGGACAGAACAGGTCTCGGACGCCCCCTCCCTGGCTTCCTGCAACCTGATCCCTGCCGAGCGTGAGCACGCGTGTCTTAGCTCTGCGCTTCCGCTTCTCGTCAGCTGTGGAGATCTTCGGGCGCGCTTTCCTCCTGCCCGTCTCTGCGCGCCGCCTCCTTGTCCTTCAGACCAGGGCGGGCTCCCCTCCCACGGTGCCCCCCACGGCTCCCGCCACGTCACCCCCGCTCCCGCACCTTTGCTCTTTTAAAAAGTGGCTTCCACGTTGCTTTTAGTCGTGTTCATTAAAAAAATATCCCTGGGCGTAAGGAACCGACTCGGTCACTGGCTCCTGCGCTGCCGATTCCGGCGGGTCTCCTGCCTGTTGCTGGCGCCTGCTGGCGGGACGCGTCTTCAGCTCTAAGTGTCCGGATGGGACGTTTGTCCTTTGTGTCCTGTAAGTGTCGCCTCCTTCTGAGGGGCACGTGACTGCTGTTGAGCTTTGAACTTCATCTTCAGGCCCTTTGGGGCGAGAGTCGGGGGTGGCTCTTCTTGGGCAGTGTGACCCCACGTCCACACTGGCCCCCGGTGTCGCTGCTGAGCCGTGTTCAGCCAAGGCTCCACCTGGGCAGGCAGCGCCAGAGGCTCCCGGGGCTCCAAAGTTGTGCTTTCTGGCCTGCGTGCAGACCGAGGTTGGATCAAAGGCCCGGGAGGCCCGCCACGTTCCCTTCCACCCTGAGGTGGGCTGCCTCAGGAGGCTGACGTCGCGCCTCCCCCACGGCCCCTGCTGCACTCAGAGAACCACCTCCAGCCCCAAACCCTGGCCCTTTGGGGGCCTGTCTCCCTTGTTCTGGGCCACAGATCAGGGCAGCAGCGTTCTGGGTGGTTCTGAGAGGACTCCTCTGGCTCTGTGCCCCCGCCTGACAGACGGCAGCCCCTCTCCCCGGAGGCCAGTCCCAGACTCCCCCTTGGGGCAGGCTGATCTTGCTCTCCTCCATCTGTTCCTGAGTTGCCAGCGCTCCTCCAGCTTGACTTCGGGCTTTCAACGTGTTCAGCACAGACTTTCTTGGGCCTGCGTCTCCGTCCTTTGTGCAGCCTGAGACCCTGTGCTGTGCTGGGGCCCGGCCTGCCTGTCAGCGGTCAGTCACGGAGGGGCAGGGACAGTGCCTCCTGCCGGTGGCCGCCGGGAGGCTGGTGCTGGCCCGCGAGGCGGGGGCTGTGCGTCCACGTCCAAAGCCGCCTGGTGGGCGCACCACCCCCTTGCTGTCCATCCGTGCAGGGAAGCAAAGTGACTCTGGAAGTCAGTGGGATTTGCCAGGTTTTGAAGCAGAAAATTGCAGGTCCCACGTCTGGCATTGCTCACTGGTTCCAGAGTCAAGACAAAGAAATACAAGAATTTAATAAAGCGGCTTCATGGCGTCCGCGGGCTGTCTGCAGGGAGCTGTCTGGAGGAAGACGCCGTGGCCAGTGCCGGGTAGGGCGGACGAGGCCCAGCAGGGAGGGCGAGCTTCCCGGGGGTTGTGCTTCCGTCCCCCGAGCCACACAGACGGTCAGCTGGAGCACAGCTCGGAGAGGCTGCTGCAGCCTTGGGCTCAGGACGCCGGCTCCGCTTCCAGAGGACTCTGGGGCGGCAGCAGGGTCCAGCCTTGGCAGGACCATCAAAGGTGCCCGCCTCCCTTCGTGGGCACGTGCGCCTGGTCCTGCAAAGCACGCCAGGCAGCCCCTGCCCTGACTGAGGCCCCTTGGCTGTTTGCCTCGATTCCCCAGCACGCCTAACCTGGCCTGGACAGCTGACGGAGAACGGTCTCCAGAGTGGCGCGGGCCGGACCTCCTGAGCAGGGAGCTGCTGGGTGGCGCCGAGGGGCCAGGTAACACGGAAAGTGGGGGTCCCTGGGGCTCCTGCGTCTCTGGCTTTGATCTGCACCCAGAGACTTGGAGGAGACACGCGCACAGACAGGACAAGACCCTTGAGCAGGGCCAGAGGCAGCTGTTACCTTGGTTTGTGCTTTGATTTTGCATTTTCTTTTTCTGCCTTTGTCCGGGCCCTCTGGGGCTTGCTTCGGACCGTGCCTTGGATGGTGGGCCGCTTCAGGCTGACCCTCTGGCTGGGCGTTTGCTCCCGAGGGGATGGGTAATCTGGGTGTTTTATTGGGAAACCTTGATTAGGAATATCCTTTCTATGCAAACTAATTCAATTAAAGCTCCATCACATTGAGTCTGCTGCCTCTGTCTTTGTGCGGGGGCTGGCAGAGTCCCTGGTGTGTACCCTTAGCCGGCGTGAGGGCGTGAGGCCCCTGGGGGCCCCTTGGCCACATGCTAACAAACTAAGGTCACACCCCCCACCGGGCCCCACTGGCTCCGGCCCGAGAGACCTGGCCTATGCAGCCTGGGCCACCCGCCCGGTGTGTCAGCCCCGCCCTGCAGTTCATCCCTGGGGTGAAACTTGCTTTGACCCCTGAGGGACACTTCAAAATAGCCCCAAACCACGCCCTCGGGTGGGCGTGGCTGTTTGTGTCTCTGGCACTTGGGGAGCTGCTCACTGTGGTTATGGGAATAACAGCGTTAAGGCGAAGGAGAACGCTGGCCAAGTTGTTGAGGGTCACCCCCGGAAAACACCAGGCCCGAGGTTCACAGGGGTCGCTCCAAACTTCTAGTGCCAGCCCTGGAGCCGCCAGGGCCCCAGAGCCCAGGAAAGGGAGGGACACTGCTTGTCCCTTCGGCACAGCCGGCCTGACGCCGACAGCACCCCAGGCGAGCAGCACTGCCCGGCCTGCAGGACGCAAACACCAGCGGCTACCCAGACCCGCTGCGCAGGGCAACACCTGCTGAGGGGCGAGGGGCGCGGGTGGGCGTGGAGGGCCTGTTAGAGGTCGGAATCTACCAGTATAGCCGCCAAGGGAAAGCTCAGTGCTGTCTCCCAAGATACCAGTTACAAATTCAATATCCGTGATAACCACACTCAAGAAAAAGGGAACTGGGCCTCCCCTGGTGGCGCAGGCGGTTGAGCGCCGGCTGTGAAGCTGCCCGCAGCCTCTGCAGTGCCGGTTCCATCCCAGCCGGCCGGCGAGGGTCCCACATAGCGCAGCAGACCTCTCCTGCCGCCCGCTACTCCCCTCAGCAGTTGACTTCAGTAGATCCACCTATTCTGCTCCCCACTCTGTCTCTGGGGAGTCCGCTCACCCCCTGCACCTCTGGCCTGCACCCCAGCTCTTGTGTGCATACATAAATAAATCTTAAAAAAAAACAGAAACCAAAAACAAAATAGCAGGAAAACAGAAATTCCAGGGGGACTCGTCCCCAACCCCCGTCAGCCTGGACGCTGGGCCCGCGTGGGGGAGGCGGCGAGGGGGCGGCCCCAGGCGGGTCTGGAGCCTTGAGCCCAACGAGGGGCACCGAGCGCAAGGCCAACAGAAAGATTTGTAAATGGCACTGGGGCGAAAGCACTAGAACTCTCACTCCACGGGCCAGACGGGAAGGGACGGCTCCAGGGGGACGTGTCTCTCTGGACACGACTCAAAATCCAGAGGCAGGAAGGGGCGACCCATGTGGTCATGCAGGCCGTCCTGCTCGGCGGAGAACACCACAGCAGGATGGACACGAGCGGAGGAGCCGGGAGGACACGGTGCCCGCTCCCCGGAGCGTCCGCTGCCCCACTGCGTCCTGACTGGCCAGAGGCGCCTCAGAACCCTCTAAAAGACGCCAGACAGAGACAGGAGAGACGCGCGCAGGTAATTGGCAAAAGATAGAAAACCACCTTCAAACATTCGAGAAAAACGCTCCAACTGCTCGTAACGACAGGCCCGCAGACGAGAACCAAACGCCCTTTCGTGCTTCTGTGGCCAAGCTCTCAAATAAATGAGAAACATTGCGGGCTCGTGCATGGGGGGTGCAGGCCGCGCCAGGCTTCCCGGGGGCCTCCCACCCGCCCATCCCGCTCGGCTCCGCCCTAGCGTGCATAATCAACAGACCCTGGGGGGCGCGACCCATCCCCGCCACCTGCACCCCATGCGGGGGTGGGGGAGTCAGGGCCCCAGCCGTGGGGAAGGACGGGGCCACCTCGCAGACGACGCTGTCTGCAGGACACGGGGGCTGGGGCGGCATCGCCACCCGCAGGGCGGTCCTGACCACACAGCACAGACGGGCCCGTAAGCGGCTGACACCGATTCCCGGATGCTCCGGGGCTGATGGAGACTGAGGCCAGCAGAGCCGTGTCTGAGGCTCGGGCTCCTGGATCCCCTGCACGGAGGGCCGAGTGCAACTGGGGCGCTCTCAGAGGGCCCGGCTCCCATGCAGGGGCCCCACCCTCGCTACAGGGGCACAGCGCCCCAAGGACAGTGCCCAGCGGAGGGCGGGTCACCCGTGGTTCTCACCATGCGCACGATGCAGGATGCTCGGGACAGCCATGGGGCTTAACAAACGGGAGACAGAGTCTCCACAGCCACAGGTGGCGGCTCCCTCACCCCAGATAGTGTCCAGGGCGCCCTGCTAAGGCCGCTCACCCAAGATGGCGCCGTCCGCCAGCGAAGCCCGGAGCCGCGGGCAGCCGGCCGGTGACTCACCCAGCTGGAGGCGCCTACAGGCCGTCGAGGTGGCGCAGCCCAGCCCATCCTGCAGCTGGGGGGGGCAGCCCGGACGCTGGACCCGACAGCAGCGCTGGCCGCCCTGGCCGCGGGGCCTCCCCGGTCACCTGCCCGACTCTGGGCCAGCGTCGGCCCCGCCAGCAGCAGCAGCAGCTCCCCGACGCCAGGCCCGGCCTCTGCTGCTCCCACAGGAGGCGTCAGAGGCCACCGGAGGGCGGCTGTGGACGCTGCCCCTCTGCGGAGGGCAGGACAGAGGCGCCCAGCCGGCTCCTGCCCGCCTGACCTCGCCTTCACCTCCGCCCCAGCCTGATTGGGCGGTTTCTCGCCCGAGGCTGATTGGCCCCTGGACCACCAGCTCATGGCCCACACCTGAGGGCCCGGCCCCCGCCCAGGCCCACCCCGGCCTCTGGCCTCTCCGCAGCAGCCGCTGGAGGAGCCTCAGCCTGGGGCTGCCCGTGGGCCCCGCCCCTCCCTGCAGCCTGACCCAGGGGCTGCTGCCCTGGGGTGACGTGGCAGGGGAACCCCATCACCCGCCACCACAGCTGCCCTGGGCTGCAGCCTGAGCCCCATGGAGCCACTGGGGGAGGGCGGTAAAATGCCCCCTACCCGCCACAGCTTGCACTGCCCGCAGGCAGGGCTCCGGGGCCAAGCGCTGGAGCCCTGGCGGGGGGGGGGGTCCCCTGGATTCAGAATGCCATCATAATTGGGGGTTGGTTTCAACACAGGACTTTCTATAACAGGGGTCACACGTGAAAGACTCGCACGCCATCATCTGCTGCTCCGAGCAGGTGGGCGCTCATCAGCGGAAGGTCCTTGGGCGAGCGGGGTTGGACGCAGACGCTCTGGGGGAGAAGGCCGTGAGACCATGAGTTGAGACTGGGGGTGACTCGGCCACAAGCCCCTAACACAAGGCCAGCCGGTAGCCCCAGACCGCGCAGAGGCAGGGAGGCCCTGCCTGGAGCTTGGAGGCCGCACTGCCCCGTCCCCCAGATTCCTGCAGAGCAGGCGGCCTGCAGCGGCCTCAGACAAGTGGGCAGAGGCCGGGGTGTGCAGGGGAAGGGGTGGCCTGCCTGGTGCCCCGGGGGCTGTGGAGGGTGGGGGGAGGGTGACAGGACCCAAACTCCTTCCCTTCACGGTGCAGGGGCCCTGAGGGTGCTGCCAGGTACAAGGGTCAGCACAGGCCCATGGGGAGCAACAGCCATTTGCTCAGGCAGGTGCTGGTGTGTCAGGTGGCTGGTGCCCCTGGGTAGGTCAGCACCCCCAGAGGCTCAGCACCTCCCGAGGACCAGTACCCCCAGAAGGTCAGCATGGGGGGCCCCCAGCTGGGCACAACTTCCCTGGGCCTCTCCCAGCGCCAGTGGTCAGCGTGGTCAGCTGCCTACAGCTCTTAGCATGTCCCGCTGGTATGCCCAGCGCATTTGGAGTTTTTGTAAAATGACTTTTTTTTTCTAAAGATTTATTTATTTATACACGCACTGGGTACAGTCAGAAGCGCGGGAGGGTGAGAGAATTCACCAGAGCCAGAGCGGGGAGCAGAGCAGGCAGAAGGACCGAAGGACACTGCTGAGGGGAGCAGCGGGCGGCAGGAGAGGTCTGCGCGCCATGCGGGACCCTCCTCCGGTGGCCGGGGAGCAGCCGGGGATCGAACCGGCGCTGCAGAGGCCGTGGGTAGCTTCGTAGCCCAGCGCTCAACCACTGCGCCCCCGGGGAGGCCCTGTAAAATGACTTTTAAGGAAAACAGCAGAAATCAGTCCACGTTTCTCCTCGGCAGGGGCAGTCGTCAGCCGCCGCAGGAGAGGACATGCCGTCCGCACCCTGCCTCTCCCCGCGTCTGTCCCTTTGCTCCGGACGGAGCCGAATGTCCCTTGTTTTCACCCCATTTGCTGCCAGATCTGAAGAACAGGCCAGCACGAGGCCCGCTGTCCTTGAGAGGATGGGCGGGGAGGCCTGATGGGCCTTGGCGGGACGGGAGCAGAGGGTGCGGTGGGGACTCTGGCCTGGAGAAGGGCACAGGCGGGGCAGTGCCCCTGGAAGCGGGAGGGCAGGGAGATGGCCCCGGGGCCGGGGGGTGCGGCCAGGGCACACCGTGACGTCTCTCCACGAGCCCCACGGGCCCTCCTGACCCGCAGACAGCGGGGAGACAGCAGGTGACGGTCGGGGGTGCTGGCAGGGTAGGGCCCGCGGGGACACGCTGGCCGGGCGCCTCAGGGAGCAACGCCCCAGGTGATTGCTCTTGAAGCCGCAGGCTCGAAGTGTCTTCCTGCGCCTCCTGCCCTGCCTCGGGCCGGTGAAGGAGACCAGGCAGGTCGGGAGCCCCGGGGGCCGGCCTGGTTGGTTCTCCTTACTGCTCCTCCCGCGCCCAAAGTCCTCACCCCAGGACTTGTTGCACCCTCACTGTGCCGAGGGGGTGTGCCAGCGAGCTCACGCGTATGCATGTGTGATTGCCTGACGCAGGTGGTGTGTGAGACGGCGTGTGAGCAGTGCCACACACGGATGGGCATGCGTGTGCTCACACCCAGGCATCTCTGCACACACATGCATGTGTGATTGTGTGGACACACAGGGTATACATACACGTGTCCGTGGACACTTGTGTTTGTATGTACGATGTGTGCGCACACGTGCCGGTGTGACTATGTGTGTGCAATGCATGTGCACAGATGGGTGCTGGCGAGTGTTTGCACACGATCCTCTGTACGACAGACATTTACGGTCACGTGAGTGCACGATGGTGCACACGTGGTGATGCGTGTGGTCATGTGCTTGGACACGTGTGCACACGGGGTAGAGAGATGGGTCTGGGAACATGGGGTAGGGTCTGAGCAGGAGCCGAATGGCCTCCCGGAGTGCTGGGCCCCCCCGTGGGTGCAGTGCTGCCCGAGCGCCCCCCACGCCCACCCAGAACACAGGTGGGACCCGCACAGCCAGCTCTGCCCCTGGACCCCGGCTGTGTACAGAGCCCGCTCCTCGCTGTGCTGCCCACTGGTGACCCTCCGGCCGTGGGGGTCCTGCCCAGGCCGCCCACCCCCCGCAGCGGCTCACAGGCGGGACATGTGCATCCTGGTGCCGCGGCGCCGGCCTGGCGTTGGGTGTCGACTTTCGGGGTCTGCCCCCCTTCACCCAGTGGTGGCGGCTCTAAGACGGTCTGAGCCAAGCGCTGGTCCCTGTGGGACGGCTGCGGGGTGGGCGGCTCCTGTGGTTTCTCAGAAGCAGCCGGACACACAGTCAACCAAGTAACGAAAGGCACAGAGTCCACTTCTGTAGAAGAATATATTATTTAAAAGACAGTTTAAAAATAAAAACTCTGTACAGCATCACGGACGCGTCTGTCAACGCAACGGCTCTTGGGGAATGTGCTTGGGGGTGCCGGGCACCCGAATCCCCTCTTCCTCTGCGGGGTCCCTCGAGGCGGCGGGCAGGAACCGGGGCGCGGCCCCACGTCAGGCACAGTCCGCTGGACGGAGGAGAGGCGCCGGGTGTGACTGGGCCGCGGCCCCAGCGCAGCCACAGCCTCCGCCCAGGCGGTCAGGCAGGGGCTTGACCGTGGAAACGTCTTCACTCGCTCCACTGAGGCCCCGGCCTCGCGCACAGAGAGGGGCCGGCGGTGGCCCCGGGGCACAGGTGCAGTAGAGAGTGGGAGTGGCGCCCCCTCCCCCCAGCCACCCCCCGCCCTCCCGGGCCCCGGGCGTGAGTCTCTCAAAAGGTCCACAGACCTGGGTGTCACGGTGTCCCTTGGGGCAGGAAGGGCCGCCCGTCCCGCACGAGCGCCCGAGGGACGGCCAGCGCCGGCGAGCGCCCGGGGATGCGGCAGCGACTGAACCCCCCATCCCCCGCCCCGCACTTTTACAAGGGCCTTCCCGGCAAGGGCTGGGTGTGCTCTGCCCCCGAAGGCGAGGCCCGGCAGGGCCACATCCTAACTGCCCACGACGGAGCAGTGGAGGCGTGCGGGGACGCAGATTACCCCCCCCATCGCCGGGCACCGGGCCTGCAGCCGAGGGGCTTTACCATCACTCGTCTTCCCGCCTCTGCTCCTCTCTCTGGACCCGTCGGTGCCCTCGGGCGTCTGGGCCTCTGCTCTCTGGAGCAGACAGGGGAAAGAAGGCGGGAGTCAGGCCGGGAGTCAGGGCCCCCCGGCTGCCGTGCACGGCCCGTGGGCTGAAGATGCTGCGACGGCCGTGAGACTGACAGGCGTGCCGGGCGCTGCAGAGGCTTCGCCGGGCGGTTGGGGGGGGGGGGCAATGACCAGACAGGGCCCTCGCTCTGGGCGGCCGCACCGGGCAGTGGCAGTGGCCGTGGAGAGCAGCCCGTTCGCCTCCTCGGCTCTGTCCTTCCGGGCGGGAAGGCGGGAGGGGGCCGCGCCCAAGGGTGGCGGGGCCTGGTGGCGGCTCGGCCCTCACAGCCTGCAGGGCTCTCTCCAGTCCTGCGCGGGTCAGGGGGGACGCGGGGTGCCCTCGTCTCTCATCCAGCTCTGTGCATTTTGCCTTAGGTTTTGGGGTTTCAGAGTAAGCGCCCAGTGAAGTCCAGCTGGAGGGGCGGCGTCTCTGGTGACTGCGCCTGGTCAGCGCTTATTGAGCGCCAACACACGTCCAACTTGGCACACGACGCAGGTGAGGGAGGCCCATGACCAGGCGCCTGGGGGGTTCGGTGGGAGTTCCTAGCAGTGAGACGGGCAGGGGTGCCCGACAGGATGCCCAAGGGGGTGTGACGTGCAGGCGGGGTGCCGGCTGAGGCCAGGCAGGGCCGAGCTCTGGGCATCGGGGAGACCATTCCAGCTGCTTCGGGCCCCTGGGGAGGGGTACAGGGGCTGGGCCAAGGGCAGGCCACACGCTGGGCTGCTGGGTCTGGACGGGGCCGGAGGGCCAAGGTGGGGCAGTGGGGCCGAGGCTGGCACGCTCCGGTGCTGACCAGCTGGGGCTTCATGGGATCCTCTGCCTAGCACGTGTGACCGGCCACCTCACAGACGGGCCCATCCCAAAAGTGACCAGAAGCCAGGCTACCTGTGCCACCCAGGGGTGGAGCCAGTGGCCAGAGCCAGGATGTGGGCGGCAGCCTCTCCAGGGCTGGGCAGCCCCTGCCCTGGCGCCCCGTCCAGTCACAGGCCAGCATTGGCCTCCGTAAGCACGTCCCCCAGTGGGTCTGTGGTGCCGGTGGCAGGGAGGGGCCCTGCCCGGGGGCCACCCCAGCACCCGCTCGGCACAGTCAAGGCGGGGCCGAGCAGCCTCTGGACAGCGCTGCCCACCTCTTTCCTGGCATCGTCTATCTGCTTCAGCTTCTCGTAGTGGTCCCTGGACGTCCACAGAGGCTGCAGCATCGGCTCCTGGACCACGGGGAAGAGCTGGGGGGACACCACACAACCCTCCTCTCAGGGCCAGAGTACGCGGGCGAGGACTGTGCTGTGCGTAGCCCAGGGAGCCCGCACACAGCCCCGCCCGCCCGCGCCCACAGGAGGCCAGGCCAGCATCGCGCAGCCGGCCCGAGGCGGGTCCCTGGCGCTCGGAGAGCAGCCAGCGCCACGTGGGGCTGCGCAGGCGGGCGGAGGGGAGGTGTGAAGAGAGGCAGCACCCGGAGCTGAGGGTGGTCCTGGGTGCCCCAGGGGCTGGGAACGAGGGAGGTGGCCTGCCCTGAGCGGGGCAGCGGGCAGCCATGCAGGGGCAGCCTCCATGCTGAAGGCGATGCGTCCACAGCGGTGTGTGCCGAGGACGGCGGCCCGGAGGCCTCGCAACGGCCCAGGCGGGAGGAGTGTCTGGCTTCCGGGCTGGCGGCCCGGGCAGGGTGGGGGCTGGTTCTGAGGCCTGGGCGGTGTCCGGGGGCCCAGGAAGGGGAGCCGAGCGGCCGGGGCTGTGCGGTTGGGTCACTGCAGGTGGGGCGGGGGAGAGGCCGCCCTGGACATGCTGGCGTGGGGGCTCGGGTGACCAGGCAGGCGGCCCTGGCACACGTGTGGGCCTGCACGTACGTGTGTGCACACGTGCTTGCGGGGGCGGCCACTCACCTTGGTCACGGTTTCGAACATGGGGATCAGGACGAACTCAAGGAACCCGATTTGGGCCGTGGCTTTGGTCACTTTGTCCCGGTCCATGAACGGGGCCACAGGGAGGCCTTCTGACTTCTCGCGGTCGCTCTGGGCAACGCAGGGGACGCCGCGTGAGAGAGAAGGGGTGGGCCTGGAGCAGCTCAAGCGAGGGCGGCCACGCAGCCGAGAGCCGCCAGGGTCACCCCGTCCGGTCTCGAGGCCTGTCCTGACGTGTGGCGCCAGGGGGCCGGGCACTGCTTTCGCTGCCCCCGGCGGGCGAGTGTGGGGCGGGCTGGCCTCACCTGCATGAAGTACTCCTCCAGCAGGCAGCCCACCCAGGGCTCCGCCACCTCCACCGGGCGCACCTCGTTGGAGATGTCGCAGCATTTGATCAGGATCATCTTCAGCTGCAAGAGACCGGGCAGTCGGCCGCCGCGCCGCGTGGACAGGCGCCTGCCGGTGGGACGGCAGCGGGGCGGGGGGGTCGGGCCCGCGCTTCCCTGGGCAGGGGTGACCCTGCCTGCTGCAGAGACCCTCAGCCTCCCCACCCTGGGAGAACCGCACCCCAAAGCAGCAGAATCTTTTTTTTTTTAGGGTATTTGAGGGGTAGGAAAAATGGTTTAACACACGGAGATTCTCTAACACAAACTGTAGCTTGTGAGGTTTAAAAATCTAACAAGGGGCCTCGCCGGTGGCGCAGCGGTTGAGCGCTGGGCTGCGAAGCTGCCCGCAGCCTCTGCAGCGCCGGTTCATTCCCCGGCCGCTGGCGAGGGTCCCACAAAAAAAACAAAACAACAACAAAAAAACCTCTAACACGGGGCCTCCCTGACGGCGCAAGGGGTTAAGACGCAGCACTCTATCTGCAGCCTCTGCAGCATGAGTTCAATCTCTGGCCAGGGAGCTACCCACAGGGCGCAGCAGACCTCTCCTGTCTCCCCGCTGCTCCCCTCAGCAGTGATTTCAGTCAGTCTGCCTGTTCTGCTCCCCGCTCTGTCCCTGGTGGACCCTCTCACCCCCACACCTCTGGCCTGCACCCCAGCTCTTGTACGCATAAATAAATATATCTTAAAAAAAAGTAATGTATGTCTTTCAATTATTACAGATGCAGACCATTTAAAAAAGAAAAATAGAAAAAAAACTAACAAAAAAACCAGGTGCATGTACATGGAGGCAAGGCCAGGAGACAGGTTAGCTGAAGAGGTGCCCATGGGGGCACTGGCCGGAGCGTGGAAGCCTTCAGAAAGGAAGTTGAGGCCCTCAGGTGAGGCCTGGAGCACCCAGGTCAGGGCACCTCCTGACCCAGGGGATCATGGGGGAGCCCCACATGGGCATGCACTGGGCAGAACCCCAATCTATCCCTGGCTCAGGGTGAGAAGCACCCGAACGTCAAGGCGGTGTCTGCCTGGGCCCAGCTTGTGCCGCGCTGGCGGGGGCTCTGCCTGGGGCCAGATCTGCGGACGCCTCGCCTGCCCTTGCTGCGGACATGCCCACCCCGGAGGAGTCGCCTCTGCTCAGGTCCTGCCTGTCAAGCCCAACGGAGTCCCCACGGCCCTGCCTGTACCCGAGGCGCCCGGTGGCGCGTTCTGAACTGCGGGTGCTGCAGAAGGCGACTCCCAGGCCCGGGGATTCAGCCCGAGCGTCCCCACCGGGGGCTGGCTCTACTCCCTGCCCTGTGCCGGCACAACCTCTGTCACCTGGAACCCCCACATTCAGGACCCAAGTGTGGTCGCCATTGGGCCCAGGTGCCCAGAGCGCCTGCCTGGCGCGTGTCCTCGGCGTGCGGCTCTGCTCCTGCCCCAGCTGTTTGCCCTTCCGGGCGCCTGGTGGACACTCAGCTCAGCCTGGCCTAGCCCTCCCCGTCCTCCTGGGCGTGCTCCCATTTCCACTGGACCTCGCGCTAGGGTGGCCACCGCTTCTTCCTGGAGCCCCTCAGAGAGGCAGGCTGCCTGGCCCAGCCCTCAAGGAGCCAGGGTGGGGCTGGGACTCGGGGTCCGGCTCCCTCGGCCCTGGGGCAGGGGGTGAACACAGGCTGGTGGCTACTGCCCCTTGGCTGGCCACCCCACAGACCACCGGCTCTGAGCAGTGGGCCTGGCCTCTCGGGGCCCCTCTCTCCAGCTGGCTCTCCTCAGGGTGCCCCCACCATCCCAGCCCGGCTCATCCATCCAGAGGCCGAGGCAGCCCCTCCCACCCGCCACTGGAGTTTCAGGGGCAGGAGGTGCCTGACAGGTGGGGCTCTGACAGGGCCCAGCACGCGGGAGGGTGCCTGCCTGTGCTGACCGAAGCCCCACCGCACTCCTGTGCGCCCTCCACGGGACAGCCCCCGAGGGCCACCTGGGGCTGGTGCCCAGCAGCTCTGGGGTAGGCGCTGACCCCTGGGGCCCCTGCATCCCCGAGCTGCCCCCAGCGGCTGGGCTCTGCGTGCCGTCCCGGGGACAGGCCGACCTGGAGGAGCCGCCTGGAGCTCAGGAAACCAGAGCAAAGTGGAGTGAGCGAGGAGGGCCGTGTCAGGTGGGCACCTGCCGGGGCTCCCCGAAAGAACCGGCCCCCCACACCAGCTTTACTGCCCCCCATGCCAAGCCAGGACGACCTCTGGTTCCTCAGGGCGTGTGCAGGGAGGATGTGTCCCCCCCCCCACCGCGGCGGCCGCCGGCTCACCAGGGTCACGTGCTCCTCGTTGCTGTAGTCGAAGTTCTCCATTTTTTCTTTGAAAGAATCCATGATCTCTGCGTGTCGCGCCATGTCGGTGGCCAGGATCAAGGTGATCATTGCCTGAAAAGTGAAAGAGCAAAGCGTCACCCCCAGCTCCCTGCCGAGCCCCGGCGTCTGCCCACAGGCTCCGCGGCCGCTCGGCCCAGGCTGCAGTAGCAAGGCCGAGCTCGGGAGGAGGCCGGCGGGCCCGGCAGGGGCGAGGACTCGGCCAGTGGGCGCCGGCCAGCCCTCGGGGGCCGTGTCCCGGGCGGGGGAGCAGCCGTCTGCCGGAAGGGCGACCTGCAGGGCGCGGGCCAGCACGTGGGGGGCCCCTGCTGACCCCGGCCGAGGCCGAGTGTCTCCCTTGACACGGTGGCCCCGACACAGCGCGCTGATGCAGACCTGCTGGGGGTCGTAAGTGGCTTTCCGGGGGTATTTCCCCCAGGCGTGGTTCTCTGTGCGTGTGCTGCTGGGATTGATTATACGTCATGGTCTTCCTCCCGTAGCAAATTCGTGAGGACGTAATGAGTTTTTAACACAATTACTACTTTGTGAACCAAATATTGGTTTAGGAGAAATAACATAATTCGAAGCCATGACGACCCACCAATCCTCGCAGCCACCTGCCCATTCACCCATCTTCCCACATGTCCACCTGTCCACTCTTCACCCACCCACCATCCACTTATCTACCCACACCCACCCGCCCGCCCGCCCGCCCCACACTCCCGGGACACGCCTCTGCTGGGTCGGGTGTGCTACTTTGCAAGAAAACAAAACCACAAGCATGAACTCTGACTTGAGTCAGTCTCTGTATCGACAGATCCTCTCAAATGTGAGGGCCGGGCAGGCCCCCTGTAGTGACCTGCTGTGCTGAGTGGAAAGGCCTGTCACTCTCTGGAGAATCAGCCCCTGAATCTCAACGGCGGGACGTCGCCACCTGCCGGGGTGACGGACGTCACGCTCGGGACAGCCGCTCGAACGCCAGCCGCGCGCACCTGCCGGATCTGCCGGAAGGCGTCCGCCGGCAGGTTGGAGAAGATGTTGCACTCGGGCTGGGCCAGGATGCGGAAGGCCACGGCGCAGTGGTGGTTCTCCAGGGGCGAGATGTCGTTGTAGCGGACCGCCAGCTCCGTGCGCGCGTTGATCTGGTAGCTGGGAGGGCGGGGCGGGGGGCTCAGGGTGCACCCCGCACCCTGCCCGAGCCGGAGTTCACACCCCTGCACCCTTGAGGCCCTGCACTCGCGACCCCAAGTCATGACAGCCGCACCGGGCGGACCCCCACACCCCTCTGCACACCGCCGGTGGCAGCTGGCCTCCCTGGCACCCGCAGACCACAAGCACGAGGGAGGGGACGGTGGCTCTCGAGTGGGCCCTGCGGCCACCGCTGCCGGCCTGTACTGTCCGCGGCCCGGCGGGGAACAAGCTGGCACGGAGCCCGTGGCCCCCACCTCGGACGCACTCAGGTCTGGACAAACGAGGTTCTCGGCCACACTTGATGTGGCGCAGACGACAGACTGGACAGACGGGGCCAAGCCTCAGCAGGCACGGTGGCCGCGGCCCGGCGGGGGTCCTGGGACGGAGCCGTGCCCAGCGAGGGAAGCCCGACCCTGCTGCACCCTCCCGCCTCCAGCTCCGCAGGGTCCTGCTCGGGCTCCCCTGGGTGCTGGCCCTCCGCCTGGGTCCTGCAGGAACAGGCTAGGGGCTGCCTGGGAGAGGGAGATCAGAGCTGGGGTGTGCGGGTGGACGCCACTCCCTGCAGGGGGAGGGGGCGCATCTGCAGGCCTGGACGCGGGAGCCGGGCCGTGCGGGCATGGCCACACCTTAGGGCTCCCGCACCCGAGGGTCCTGCCCCATCCAGAGCGGCAGCGTGTCCCGCGGGTGCTGGGGCGGGCGGGGCGTGCCAGTCCTGGCAGCTGGGCCTGAGCGGTGGGCGGGTCCCCAGGCCGACCCCGTGCCTACGTGTTGTTGTAGCCCGGGTGGTCCAGGTCGTGGCAGATGGCGGCCGTCATCAGGGCCAGGATGTCCATCTGGGACAGCTTCTCCTGGACGGGAACAGCGTTGGCGGGACGGGTGAGGAGGGGCCCGGGAGTGGGTGGGGCCCTCCTGGGCGGTGGGGAGGCCCCGAGTCTGGCTGGGAGTCACGGAGCAGCCTCACCCAGAGGCGCTGACCTGGGGCGGTGGGCTCCCTCGGAATGGGGGAGCTGCTGGGAGCCTCGAGTGCCCTCTGAGGGCGGGGTGTCCCTGAGTGGGGGTGCCGCCCCTGCCCCGCACACACCTGGAGCCCGCAGAGCCAGACCATGCTGTACATCATCTGGGTCACGCAGAAGCAGTGCCGGAAGTTGTGGAAGGGGTTGTTCCTGTAGTTTTCCTGCACACACAGCTGCCGCCACAGGCCTGAGCCCTGGCCACGCACCACAGCCACCACCCCCACCCCCCGCCTTGCCGGGCAGCGCCCCCGAGTGCCGGGGGCAGGATGGGCCACGCTGGGAGCAGAAGGGGAGGTGCTCGGGCCTCGGTGCCCAGCAAGCCTTTCCCTCTTCCCACCGGCTCCGTGTGTGTTTTATTTTAAAAAAGATCTGCTGCTAAGCACGCTCACACGCGGAGGGGACACGCAAACAGGCACAGGCTTATGCACATGCACACTTGCTCACTCCCACCCCCACAGGCTCACACACTTGCAGGCACACTCACAGGCATGCACACAGGCACACAACACACAATTACATGCTCACACTCAGACATGTACACACAACCACATGCACACTCATGCACATACCTACGGTAATCCACACAACACGCATAGAAGTCCCTCACACACCACAATCGCACACACTCGCCCACACACACTCTCCAGACCCTGCCTGCTTCTCATCTTGGCGCCCAGGGCAGACGCGGGTGTTCCCGGCGAGGGACAGGCAGACACTGGCTGGACGTCCCTTTGCAGGAGGCGGAACCCCTGGCGGGCCACGTCTGTCTCCCAGTAACCCCCAGATGCCAAGAGGTCGGGCCTGCCGCTTACCAGCCACCTCTTGAGGGTGATGGGGTTGATGCTGAAGGCCCTGACCAGGCCGAGGTCGTGGTACATGTGCTCCAGGCAGCTCAGCATCTGCAGCAGGGGCGCCACTGTCACGGGGCCACCCCGCCCCACCCCCGCTGCCTTCCTCAGGCCCACCCGAGCTGAGCTGTCCTCTCCCGAGAGAGCCCTGAGGGCCAGGCTGGTTATCTGGGGGGGGGGGGCTTCAGGACTGCCTGGAGGGACGTGGGTTAGAAGGAACAGCTGGGGTTCTATGCAAGGAGGATGGGGGTGCGCCCCTCTCCCGAAGGACCTTCTGAAATGATCCGTCCACCCAGGAGTTGGTGCAGCGGGGCCAGCACAGCCCTGGCCTGCAACCCGCCCAGCCCCAGACATGCGTCGGCCTGGCCGAGCGGGGACAGAGGGGCTCCGGGATTCACCCTGCACTGGTCTGCGTGTCCCCGGCCGCGGGGAGGGGTCTGGGTCTCGGTGTCGGGAAGGGATGAGCGTCTCGCAGCCCCAGGGCCGAGCCCTGCAAGCCAGGACCCCACCCGCCAAGGACCCCCACTGGCTGCAGTTTTAAGGTGTGAGCCTGTAGATGTCCGTCCTTGCTCCCAGACCCAAGTTCAGGGCTCCCCACACATGCCAGGGGCTGGGGCTCCTGTCTGGGCACTTGGGCCTGCGGGCTGGGTGGTGTTGGGGAGCACCTTGCCGCTGTTCTGGTGCCACTGGTATGTGCCCCAGACGGTCCGGCCCGCGGACCCCACAGAGATGCCCTGTCAGAGGGGTGGGGGCTTAGATTTGTGGGGCCTATGTTCATGATGAGGGGCCTTTTGCTTTCTTGGGGTCCAGAGAGAAGGGAATAATTGATATTTTCAGGGAGCCAGACTCAACCAAAAACCTCATTTTTGTGTGTTCTCGGCAAAGGGAGAATTTCAAAGAAATCTACAGCAGAGGCGGCGCTCGGCCCGGGCCGGCCCTCCGAGAACCTTCCGTGAAGGAGCTGCCTGAGCCGGGGGCTCCCCCGCAGGCCCGCGCTGGCCGGCGGGAGGACAAGGCGGGGGCAGAGCCTGGGAGCCTCGCCAGGCGCTGTGGACACTGGCACGGCTGGCGCCAGGGCCCAGGCCTACCGGGCCCCTGCTGACCCCTCCCCTGGCGCCGGTGCCCGCCCGCCTCCCGCCCTCGTGGGAACACGCCCGAAGCTCAGCCGCAGAGGGTGGAGGGGGCGGGGCCCTCACCTCGTTGGGCTCCCAGAGCCAGACGTCAAAGGTGGGCTTCCGGAGGGCCTCGACGGTCTCTGGGGACAGCAGGTACTGCAAAGGGCGGGGCGTCAGCGGGGCCCCCGCTGGAGTGGGCCCAGGCCCAGGATCCGGGGGGTGGTTTGGCAACGGCCAGCGTGCGGCGAGGCCGCAGGGGCAAGGAGCTCGGGGCTGCCGGGCCACACGGCTGCCCACTGGGGCCCCTGCACCCCGGGGGCGAGCGCTGAAGTGTGCTCTCCTCCGCCAGCCTGGCTCTGAGCTACACCACGCAGAGAAGCCGGGAGGGAGCCTGCTGGGAGGTTTCGGGGTGCGTGCTGCTGCTTTAGTGGGGGCTGTGGCCCGGGCGGGTTCTGTGGGAGCCGTTGCCGAAACAGGCTGGGGCTCCAGACGAGCCTGTCGGGGCCCCCTGCAGAGTCCCCATGAGGCTGATTTAATTTTTTGGGGTGGAAATGCCAATTTCCCTAATTCTTTCAAGGGTACCCCGTGGGCTCTGTTTGAGGCCCGTGTGGGTTCCCCAGACAATTGTGGGGTGTGGCTGACAAGGCGGGTCTGGAGCTTAGTGCCTGAGTGGGTGGGGCTCGTGTGGCCGCGACGGTGCGTAGGGACGGGGCAGGCAGGCCAGCCACAGGCTCTTGCTCTGCCGGAGAGAAGCTCGCTGCGTGGGACGGAGGCTCCGCGGGCTGAGGCCGGGAAGCTGCCCTGCGCCGGCACTGCCCGGGGAGAAGCTCTGCCGCGCAGCGAGGACGGGTCTCCAGCCTCGGGCTGAACCTCCCACCTCAAGCACCAAGCCTGGGACTCGGTCTCAAGGCAGCGTTTCTAGTCTGTCCATAGAGGAACGGCCAGGGAGGGCTGACCCCTTCCTGCTGGACCGGGCCGGTCCCCAGCCCCAGGGAGGCTCACGAGTGACTTGGCATCGTGTCTAAGGGAAAGGCAGCACGTCCATCTGAAAATGGACAAGGTTAGTGGCCGCGGGAGCCCAGGAGGAGTGTCCCTGGCAGATGTTTCTGGAAGGTGTCTAAGCACTGCTGGATGTGGGCAGTGGAGGGCGGCTGTGGGCCCAGCCCCGGTGGGCCGGGACCTTACCAAGACCGTACTGACTGACAGTCCCCTGCGGACACGTTGCTGAGGGGCCCGCTGAGGGCCTGTGCTGTGGGAGAGTCCCCTACACCCAGGGCGCTGCAGCCCAGCCTGGCCCAGGCCTCTTGTCAGAGAGAGACCTTTTGTGACAAAAAGGCAAAGCTTCTCCTAAGAGCTGCGCACTGTCCAGGGGTGGGAGAACCAAGGAGGCAGATTTCAAAGGGTTTAGTGGGGTCCGAGGCAGGAGTGCTTTCTCGTGTCCGCTGCAGCCCCGTTCACAGTGACCAAGCCGCGAGGCCACAGAGCAGCAGATGAAGAAGAGGCGGCACGTGCACACGGTGGAATACTACTCAGCCATAAAAAAGGACAAACCCTGGCCATTTGTAACAGCCTGAATGGAACTGGAGGACGATGCCAAGGGAGTACGTCAGGAGAGGGACAAATACCAGGTGACGTGACTCCTACGTGGAACCCAGAGAAGCAAAGCAAAGGAACAGACAAAAACTAAACCAAAATAAACCCTAGAACTCTGCCTGCACAACTGAGGCTCACAGAGGGGAGGGGGAGGCAGGAAGCCAATGGGGAGGGGCCCAGGGGACTGTGGGAGGAAGAGGAGGCTCTGGTGCTGGGCATGGCGTGGTGACCCACCTCTGAAGAGGAGCGACCCCGCACCCCTAAATCATGTCAGTGTCGTAAACCAGCATTATCTCAATAAAAATAATACAATCAAAAAATAACTTAGCTAGGGGCCTCCCAGGTGGCGCAAGGGGTTAAGCTGCACCATGAAGCTGTCCGCAGCCTCTGCAGCACGAGTTCAATCCCTGGCCAGGGAGCTGACCCACATGGCACAGCAGACCTCTCCTGACTCACCCGCTGCTCCCCTCAGCAGTGGATTTCGTTAGTCTGCCTGTTCTGTTCCCCGCTCTGTCTCTGGTGAATCCTCTCACCCCCTGTGCCTCTGGCCTGTACCCCAGCTCTTGCATGCATCAATAAACAAATCTTTAAAAAAAAAAAACAAAAAAAACTTAGCTAAACATCTTTCAAGTAAAGCCATCCCTGAGCCAGTGGTGGGGGCACAGGCAGCATCTTGGGGTACCCTTTCTGGGTGCTGTAATTGGGGCTGGACACCTCAGGGGAAGGGCTTCTGCCAGAGTAGGCGAGCAGTGTCTGGGCCCGGCTGGTGGGAGCTGCCCTCGGGGAGGTGCAGACTCCGGGGGCCGAGGCTGGGGCGCTGCGGGGCCAGCGTCCCAGGGCGCATGCCGGAGCCCCATCTCACCTTGGGGTAGGCGGGGACGTCGCGTCGCGGAGCCAGCTTCTTGTCATCATCCACAAAGCCGTACTTGCAGGGACAGCTGGACCTAGAGAGAAGCGGGGGACAGCTCGCAGGAGCACTTCCGAGCAAGGCCCCCGGAGCCCAGCCGAGCCTCGGAAGCCCCCTCGGCGGTGCTCGCTGTGGGAGAAGCCACTCGGCCAGGCCGGGCAGCCTCACGCTAGACCCGGACGCCCTGCCTGGTGCCGGACACAGCCCCGCTGCCTCAGGCAGGCTTCTGGGCGCTGCACAAAGACGCGGGTAAAACACTGTCTCCTACAAACAACACCGAAGTAGATAAAGTTCAAGAAAACCCAAGTCCCCCGTTCCAGCCGCTTCTTTCCTCTAAATCTGGGGTGGCCTTCCAGAATCTTCCCAGCACACATGGGCAGCCCCTCGCACTTTCCAGCAAGGAAGGAAGCCCGGAACTCGCAGCTATGTTTTTCTTTCCCGTAAGTGACACGCTCCGCCTGTCTCAAAGACGCAAGCCCCGGGTCAGGGGCTGGGGTGAGGCTGCGCCCCGCATCACGGGGACCACCCCTCGCAGGGGTCCCCACCACGGTGGGGGGACGTATGTGCCGGGACCCCACTTTCCCCCACTGGGGGGCTTCAAGACGAACCATGTCGACAGCCGGTGGGCAGGAGGGACCTCGGCCCGTCCCCACCAGACCCCCCGGCTACCGCAGGGTCAGTCCCCGGCTGGGGTTGCCCGCTGGCTGGGCCTGCAGCGAGTGGACGGCAGCAAGTGCCTCTCCCTCGCCGGGGGAGCGACGGCCGCGGGGACTCCAGATCTGTGGGCCAGCGGCGCCCCCAGGGGAGCTCTTTTAAGGACACCGGCCAGCAGCTGGGTGCAGAGGCGGTCACGGCGATGACCCCGCGGCGAGCAAAGTCCAGACCAGGCTGGGAGGCTCGAGATGCCCCCAGACGTGGTCACCGAGTCACCCGGGTGATCGTGAGCCCTGTGTGAGTGGGGCTCCGGGGTCGAAGTGGAGCAGGAAGGCCAGGCCTGGGGCCCGGAGGCGACCGGAAGGGCGCGGCTCTGGACCGTGCGCTGTGCGCAGCCAAAGACGGTTCCGTTACTGCGGACGGCACCAAGCGCTTCTTAGCTGTTTTTAAAAATTGGGTCTTGCCATCGACAGACACCTGGGCCATCCAGAGCCTAGATTTCAGGGGGGTGGGTCATAGGGTATCCCCGCCACGGGGGTGTCCCTGCTATGGGGGTGGCTTAGCCGCGGGGTGGCCTGGCCACAAGGGTGTCCCTGTTGTGGGGGTGTTCTGGCTGTAGGGGTGTCCCAGCTGTGGGGGTGTCCCGGCCAGGGGATGTCTCTCTTGTAGGGGTGTCCTGGCCAGGGGAGGTCCCGGCTGCAGAGGTGTCTTGGCCGCAGGGTGTCCTGGCCACAGGGGTGTTCCGGCTGTGGGGTTGTCCCAGCTGTAGGGGTGTCCTGGCCGCAGTCATCATTGGTGACCCCCCCATATCAGCGCTGCCTGAGCTGCCCCCGTCCTGCCACCTGCAAACCCAGAAGCAGAACTCGCTCTCTGAGGTGGCCTGGGCGCCGGCTCTGGGACCTGCCGCTCCCCTCAGCTCCCTGCGCAGAGCTGGGGCTTGCTCAGGACGGGGTTGCACAGCGAGGCCTCCGGCGTGGCCCTGGAGGGCGGGAATGCGCCTGCGTGCTTCTGGGCTCGGTCTGCGCACGTAAGAAAATCACTCGTTATTCCTCCTCTTCTGTGTCCGACACCTTTGCGTGGAATCTCACTTTCAGGCGATCGTGAGCATTGCCCAGCGAGACGGGGACCGCCCGAACCAGCCGCTTCCCGGAACCCCCCGGCCGGCACAGGTCTCCCTCTGCACCCCGTGGCCACGGGAAGCTGCAGCCGCCAGAGCTGGCGCGGCGCCTTTGCGCTTTATTCTCCCAGGGCCTGTCACTTCCAGGGCCCCTGTCGCCCTCCCTGGGGCCGTGCGGCAATCAAGGCCGGCTGCGGGGGGACAGCAGCGACCACAGAGCCCGGTGCCCTCAGCGCCAGCCTGCCCGCAGCCCCCGCGGGTGAGCTTTGCTGGCGAGGTGCTGGTGGGAGGCCGCGGGCCCCAGCCTGGCCTCGCCCAAGATGTGAGCAGGACACTGGGCCACTTGCCGCCTGGGGCCAAAGGGAGAAAGCCGGGTGTGCATTTTGGGAGTGCAGTCCGGTCTGGGGGTGTGTGAGCCTGGGGTGCTCACAGGGAAAGGTCCACGTGACCGCTGGCCTGCGAGGCCGGGCCCGCTCCTGCTGGGTGTAGGGCAAGTTGGGCGCAGTCAGCTGCTGCCTCCCGGAGAGGCGGGTGGTGGGGCTGACACCCCGGAGCGGCTGCTTGGAGGTGCAGCCTCCCCCGCGCTGCAGGCAGGGCTGAGCCTGGGCCAGGGCAGGAGGTGGCTGTGTGGCACCGCGTGATTCAGATGGAAGCAGCTGGCACCGGGCACAAAGGGTGCGGCGCCGGGGCTTACCGCTTTTCCTCTGGGCTTACGTCCCCGTGAGCAAAAGGTGCGCTGTGGGGGCACAGGGGGACCGCGGGGCTGCTGGGCCAGGGTCCGAGGCGGGTGAGGCTGCAGCCGGGAGCCTGTTCTTTCTCCTAAATGAGTCACAGTGCTCGGAATTTGTCCCTGTCCTGCCGGGAGGGAAGAGTCCCACCGCCTCCGCTCACCTCCGAGGGGTGCCCGCGCGCGTCTGCTGAGTGCCCGCCCAGCGCCGGAGGCTGCTCTGGGGCCGAGGCACTGCAAGCTCTGAAACTGTACTTTTCGGGGGTGCACGGAGGCACACCGGGAGCTCAGGGGAGCTTGGAAGAGCATGGGGGAGCTCAGGGGAGCATGGGGGGCACAGGGGAGCTCAGAGGAGTCTGAAAGAGCACAGGGGTGTTTGGGGGAGCACAAAGGAGCTTGGGGGAGCTCAAGAAGCTCGGGGGAGCACAGAGGAGGGAGGAACGCTACATTCCTGGGGAGGGCCCACGGCGCCATCCCGCTCGGCCCCCGCGCTGCCCCCGTCCTGCGGAGGATGCCCTCTTGACCCCTGGGTGGCGTCCTCCCCGGGACCCCAGTCCCGTGTCTTCCCCGTGCGTGTGCTGTGGCGGGGTCGGGCTCCCCAGACTCCTGTGCTGAAGTCCTGCCTGGGCACCTTGCTGGGAGCTCGGGCGCTGTTACCGGGTAACCGGCCACACGTGCCCGCGGGCCGGGCCTGACCCCCCCTGCACATCTCAGGGCCATCTGGACACAGGGCGCCCTCACGGGGAGGGAGCTGCCCCGAAGACAGGAGGAGACCCCAGAGACCCCAGCGACGGCGCCGCAGGCCAGAGCCCCGAGGGGACTCACTGCAGAGCTGGGAGTGGGACACGGCGCCGACCCGCCCGCGTCTCGAGGGAGCCTGGCCCTGCCCGCGCCTGGGCCTCCGGCTCCTGCTGCAGAGCCCCGGGAGGACGCGCCAGCTCACCCACCCCGGGGGCGCCGTGCTCCAGGGGCCCCAGGAGGACACCCCCGGCCGATTAAGTCCGCCCCACGCAAGACAGGTCCTGCTCGGTCACTCGCAGTAGCTGCGGTCACCACCCCGGCGTCCCCAGCGACATGGGCTGAGACTCCCAGGGACCCGCGCCGGCCACCGAGACCTTCCCGCAGCCACGCTGCTGCCCTCCGCGGACGGGCCTGAATGTTGCAAAATAATGGGGTGACCTTCAATCTGCTGGGTGACCTGCCTGAGGGGTGTCCTTCAGTTCACTGGTCCCCGGGACGTCCCCCATTCCACAGGAACCTCCGCAGGCCGAGGCCACGGGGTTCGTGGCCGGGGGCCATGCTGTAGCCGCGCCCCTGGATGGGACAGTGGGCGGCAGCGTCCCGGGGCAGTCCAGCCGGTGTGGGTGCCGAGTGCCAGTGCGATGCGCATCCTCATCACCCCCAGCCTCGTCCCCACCATCCCCATCCCCACGACCACCAACCCCCCCGCTCCGTCCTCACACCCCCACGCCCGGCGTCCTGCCATCCGCTCACCCCCCCCCCCATCTTCGCTGTCCCGGGAATCTCCGCCCTCCACCTGAACGCATCTTCCGCATTTGCTGTTGCCATGGTTCCGGCAGGGGGCCCGCTGCACAAAGCCCCCACTTCTGCGGAGGTGTAAACGAAGCCGGGGTATATTTTTCGCAAGTTTCAGCAGCCTGGGTCAGCTCGCAGTGGCCCCCCGGTCCCGCGCAGACCCTCGTTCCCAGAAGTGATTTCTGGGCCCAGAAGGGCCGAGGTGTCTGAGGTGTCTGTGGGGCTGCCCTGGGCGGTGGGGCGCCCATAGGCGGGCCTGGGCGCCGGACACCTGTCCCACAGAAGCCAACGCCGGCCTGGCCCGGGCCCTGCCCTCCCACGGGGACGCCGGCGTCTCGAGCTGGGTGGGTGGTCTCGAGGCTTCGCTCTGCGGGGAGTACCCCCCCCCGCCCCGCCCAGGCCTTCCTCTGCCTGCACTCACAACTGTGCCTGGAGCACAGCCAGACCGGACCCTCGGGACTGGCCCCTCGGCCTGGCTTTCGGGACACAGAGCCCACAGCCCCCTCCCCGGCCCCGTGCGGGGCGCTGCATGGACCCGCCCCCAGGCCTACCTGTTGCTTCTGGCTGCCAGCTCCTCCCGCATCTTTTTAATGTCGCTCTTGCATTTCTCGATCTCCACCGCTTTCAGCGCTTCCACTGGCAACACGCGGAAACCAGGGGTTACCATGGATACCGCGGAGGCCTGGTGAGGCTGGACGGGGCTCCCGCGCCTGGCTCAGCGTGGGGGGCTCCGGGCTTCTCACCCCCTTTAGCCGACTCTGACCCCGCAGTCTGTGCATGTGTGGCCAGGTGTGAGCCCAGTTTCCACTGGGCCCAAGGGTGACCCGGCATCCACCTGGGCCAGGTGTGAACCTGGCTTTCCCCTGGGCCCAGGGGTGACTTGGCTTCCTTCCCAGAGGACAGAGCCGCCCCTTCTCATTCTCTGCACCCACTTCTTCCTCGCTCTCTCCACACCCTGAAGCACCCGCTGAAGTCACAGGACAAAGAAGTCTTTTATCCCAAAGAGAAGAGACGGGAATGTGGCCCCAGTGCATTAAAATGCGAGGAGAGGCTCAGCAAAACCTCCTGGCCCCTGCGAGGAGAGCTGATTCTAAGTCCCCAGCGGTCAGCCTGGGCGGTGGGCTCAGAACAGCTGAGGGTTAACAGGCCAGCTGAGGGCGCGCCTGGCAGGGCGGGGAGCCTGAGGGGCTGTCAGAAGTGAGCTGCGCCTCTATGGGAACAGGGGCGCAGCTCCAAGACCTCGGCCTGCAGGCTGCCCCAGAGCCCGGCCAGGCTGCCCAGCCAGGCCCGGGGAGAGTGGAAGTGGGAGTCGGTGCACAAAAGGGGACAGGCCCGACTCCGTCCCGCGACTGCACTTCAGGTCAGGTCTTCTGCAAACAGCTACCACCCAGGGCTCCTCTGGTCCCCTTCCCCGGGCCGGGCTCCGATGGGGGGTGGGTTTCTACGGGAAATGAGGCAAGTTGCTTCCGACAATCCCAAGCGTCTGGCCATGGCGGGACCCCCAGGGGAGGACGTCCCCATGGGCCTGCGGACCCGCGACCCCGGCCCGGGCAGGCTGGCTAAACACTTCTGGGGGCAGGGTCACGCTGCCTCCCTGCTAGCAGACGGGGGCCCAACGCCTGGTCTAGAGCGTGGCCGCTGGGGTCAGGGCCGGGGGTGCCGAGGGCAGGCTGCTCCCCACCGAGAGGCCACGCGCCCCTGGGGTGGTGTCCTTGGGTCCCCTGTGTCCTGGGCTCGCTGGGAAGAGGGTCCTTTTGAGAAAAGGCACATCCTCTCCACAGAGCACTTGGGCCCGGAGCCGGAGGCCGCAGGACGCCCGGGTCTCAGCCCACACGGAGGAGCTCGGCCGGGAGGAGGGACACAGCGGAGGGGTCACTGGGGCGCCGCCGAGGGCAGCGTGAACCCTGGTGGCGAGAAGGGCTCGGTCTGATACACGAAGGGCAGAGAATTCTGGAACGTGAGCTGATCGGGAGGAGACCTGGAGGTGCACACCTTGCTCCTGCGGTGCCGGGTACCGGAGAGGCGACGGGAGCCGTGCAGGGGCCAGCGGGTGTCTGATGCCCTTCCGCAGCCAAGCAGCTGCCCAGCCCCAGGCACACGCTTCGCCGCCTCACGCCCCGGCCCGCCGGCCAAGGTCTGGCTTTTCTCCCTCATCCCCAAAGTCCACACATTTGGAGCCGGTGAGGCATCTCCCCCGGCACTGACAGCCCCGGGGCGTGGGCCGCCCAGACGATTCCAGGCGTCCCCCTCAGTTACAGGCCAGGACGCAGAGGGCCGGCGCCCAGGCCGTCTCCTCGGGGGATCTGGGCCATCGGGTCGCCAAGTCAAGACTCTGTCCCACTCCTGGTTTCCCGCGGGGGTGGCCGGGCCCGGGAGGGAGGGCGCGGGGGGCCGAGAAGGGGAAAGCGCAGCCCGTGGCTGAAATGAGAGCCCCGGGCAGCCTGGGGCCTCTGCTCACGGCGAGCCCCGCACGGAGAGGACGGTGGCCCCCGCCCGCCGCCGCCACGGGACTCGGGACGGGACGCGCCTCCGACCTACTTGGCCAGCAGGAAGAAGGTGCTGAGGCGGGTCCCTGGCCTGGGCCGACAGGGAAGGCGACCGCTGAGCCCCGTCCTACCGCCCGCCTCCCTGCACTGCGTGGGCCCGGGGCCGGGGCCGCTACTCACGCTCCACCCGCTTCTCCAGCACAGCCAGGTGGTCGGCGACTTCCGCTTTCAGCTCGTTGATTTTAAATGCTCTGGGGATGGAGCAGAAGGAACCGAATCACAGCTTCCGACACCCTCCAAGTCACCGGCGGTTCTGCAGACGCCGGCGCGGCCCTGCCCGGGAGCCCCGGGGGCGGCGGGTGGGGGACAGGCCTGCGGCGGCTGTGTGCGTGGGGTGGCGGGACATACACTCGGCTTCTCCGCGCTGTTGGTGCTGGTGGATCTGCTGCTCCCCCAGCCTGGGCCCGCACCTGCTCCCAGCCCAGCCCGCTGCGCCCCCACCCCCCGGGCACAGACCACCTTGGGGACCCGCCACACCCCCGGCCCAACCCACTGGGCTGAACGACTCTGGGCTTTCGGGAGGTGCCCACAGCTCACACGTCCACCCCATGTTCATCCCGGGGCAGAAGCACCACAGTGACATAACCCAGGGGGTCACTTGGGAACAAGAAAGCAGGTCCCACGCCACTCGGTGTTCACAACCCGGCTTCTGCCGAAAACGGGGCAGCTCTGTGGGCTGGACCTGGGGTCCCCGCGGAGCCGGGTGAGGACATGGGGCTCCTGCGCGCTCCCTGGCCTGGCGGCCTTCCCGCCCTACCCATGCTGGCTCCCTCCTCAGTGGGCTCCTGGGCAGTGCCCACCGGGGCCGCGCCCGCTGCTGGAGGAGGGAGGAGGGTTTGTACCTGGAGAGCTGCTCCGCCACCTGGGCCAGCACACTCTGGATCAGTTCTTCTTTCTCTACAGGCCGAGAAGGAAAGACAGATGGGCCACGGGCAGGAGGCAGGGCGGGCGCCGGGTCATCATGGTGGGCACTGGGCGGGCACCTGGCCCTGACGCCGAGGCGGGAGGTCTGAGTCACCTGTGGGGCCTCCACACCCCTGGGCAGTCTGCAGGGTCCGGGGTGTCCCGTCCACCTCCAGGGAAATGCCCTTTCCTCTCTGCGCCCCCGGCCGTGTCCCAGCAGCCTCCCGGCAGAGCGGCCAGGGCTGGCCTCCCTTCGCCGCCACCAGCAATAAAAAGCAGGTGGGACTGAGCCTTTACGTGTGGGAAGTTTTCGCTGAGTGTCCCAGTTCATTTATGGGGGCAATTTCGATGACAGCTCGAGTCAGGGCGTGTTCAGACACGGCGTGCTCTGCAGGCCGGGCCCAGGCTCGGCCCCGGGCACGTGAGCAGGGCTGGGCGGCTGCTGGCGGGCTCGGTCCCGGGCTGAGTGTGGCCGCCTGTCTCTGTGCCTGACCAGGCCCGGGCCAGAAGCCTCACGGGTCGGGGCGGCTGTCGACCCACCGCTCCTGCCGGCGCCCCGGAGGCAGCGTGCGTTCCGCTGCAGCCGGCATCACTCAGGCCCTCGAATGTAGAGACCCGACGCGAGCCCGTGGTCCCGAGGTCACGTGACCTGCGTTGCCCGTGGGCCTGAGCGGCCCGCAAACCCCACCAAACTGCAACAAGACCGCCCAAGCCCGTGCAGCCGACCAAAGTCCCAGGACTCCTTGGCATCGGACGCAAAGGGCAGAAACGCCGACGTGCCTGACCCGGCGATCCCTCCCAGGGACGGGGGTGGTGTCCACGGGGGGAGCCCGGCACGGGCCAAACGGGCGGACCCCGAGCCAGCAGGCCCGGCCCAGGGCCTTCACGTGGTCGCGTGGAGTCATCCTGCCGCTAGCAACAGCAGCTTGGAAAATGTTCAAGTCCACTGTTAAGAAAACAGACTGCGGAACAGCCACGCGGTGCGAGCCTCGTTGTGAAAGTATCGGGAGAACGTAGGCTAAAATAGTGACAGTGGCTACTTTCAGTTTTAAGAGTACATGTTACCATCACTTTCTTATTTTTGTTTTTTTTTTATATCCTGCACATTTCCAAAAGGAATTTTTTTATATTTATATATATTTTACATCATTGTTCATTTTCATTTTTATTTTACAGGGTTTGCTTTCTCTTGCAGTCCCTTTAGAATTCCCACCCCCAGCTCCCCCGTGACCATCACCCCAGGGCCCTGTGCTCTTCCCACCCTCGTTGTGATCCCTCTCCCTCCCCTGAAGAATGCAGCCGTCTGTTTATTCTTGTTGTGTTGTGTTTTTTTTAATTGTTATTATTTTTCCCCATCCTTTATTTGGCTCCCCTGTTTTCCTCGGATAAGTGAAACCATCCGATATTTTTCTTTTTCCTTCTGGCTTATTTCACTGAGCATCATTCCTTCTAGCGCCATCCATGTTGCTGCGGATGGCATGAGTTTATCTTTTTTTGATTGCCGAGCGGCGTTCCTCTGTGTATATAGACCACATCTTGATCCAGTCATCTAGTTTTTGGGTGTTTGGGTTGTTTCCAAGTCTCACCTATTGTAAATAGTGCTGCAATAAACACAGGGGTGCAGATATCCTTTTGAACTAATATTTTTGTGTCCTTTGGGTAGATCCCTAGGAGTGGAATTGCTGGGTCATATGGAAGCTCTGTCTTTAGTAGGTCAAGAAATCCCCACACAGCTCTCCATAGTGGTTGGACCAGTTTGCACTCCCACCAGCAGTGCAGGAGAGTTCCTTTCAAAAGGAGTATGTTAATTTTAATTCTTAAAAGTATTTCAAGAACTGGGCCTCCCCTGGTGGTGCAGATGGTTGAGCACAGCGCTCTGAAGCTGTCTGCCGCCTCTGCAGCACAGGTGTAATCCCAGCCGGCCGGTGAGAAACCCACATGGCGCGGCAGACCTCTCCTGTCACGCCCGCTGCTCCCCTCAGCAGTGTACTTCGTCAGTCTGCCTGTTCTGTTCCCTGCTCTGGCTCTGGTGAATCCTCTCACCCTCCTGCCCATCTGACCTGTATCCGGGTTCTTGTATGTACGAATAAATAAATCTTTAAAAAAAAGTATTTCAAGGGCCTCCCCGGTGGTGCAGAGGTTGAGCGCTGGGTTGCGAAGCTGCCCGCAGCCTCTGCGGCGCCGGTTTGATCCCCGGCTGCTCCCCGGCCACCGCAGGAGGGTCCCACATGGCGCACAGACCTCTCCTGCCGCCCGCTGCTCCCCTCAGCAGTGTCCTTCGGTCCTTTGCCTGCTCTGCTCCCCGCTCTGGCTCTGGTGAATTCTCTCACCCTCCCGCGCTTCTGACTGTACCCAGTGCTTGTAAAAATAAATAAATAAATCTTTAAAAAAAAAAGTATTTCAAGAACTAATCAAAGTAAGTCTGACTCGTCCCTTCACCTGCCAATCGGAAGGGAGACCAGATGATCCGAGGTCCCCTGAATTCCATGTCTATGACTTGACGACAGATGGTTTGTTCTATCTCTTGAAACTCTCAGGGTGAAGATGCCGCTTTCCCAGAGCAACTGCCCGCGCTTCGGGCCCACCCCAGGCCCTGACCGTCAGCGGATGTCCTCTAACAGGGAAGGCAGGAGGGGGCCCAATGGCCACAACCACCAGGGAGGTCCTCGTGGGGAACCCTGCGGGATTTCACACACTTATCCTAAACCTTTGGCCAGAGCACGGGTCGCATGCCACCAACTGCTAATGATCTCAAAGTCCTGTGATGAATTTAGAAGTCCATCCAACGACTGACATTTACAGACCAACTCGCCAGCAGCCGGACACCATCCTTTCAGGCGCCTGTGCAGACAGACCATCTCCGTGGCCATACAGAAAACCTTCTGCAGCTCACAGAACTGAAACCGTATGGAGTATGTCGTCCAACCATCAGAAAAGGGAACTAGAAATCATGGCAGACGCTTTTCAAACACTGGGATGCTTACAACACACATCTAAGTGACGCGCGGGCAGAGAGGAAGTCTCGGTGGGAAAAAGCAGGGGTGGGGGAGAGAGAAGGACCTGACCGGGGATGACAATAGCAGGCATCAAAATTCAGCCGCGGCACCTGCTGAAGCACGTCTGGGAGGGAACCGACACATAAGATGCTTGCGTGAGGAAGCAGGCAACACTTCAACACCACAAGCTAAGAACTAGAGAAAGAAGAACAAAGTCAACCGCAATAATAGCGGAAATCAAGGCATCGAGAACAGAAAATGTGGAAAGTCAATGGAACAAAGAGCTGGTTATTTAGAAATAAATTAAAGTGACAAATCTCTAGAGGCTGCCACAAAAGAAACACATGGAGGACACAGCTCCCCAAATGAGGAACGACGGGAGGGGCACGCGGCCAGAGCCCCTCGGGAGGGGCCTGCACACCCTCCAGCCACCCGCAGCGGCTCAGGCGACGCGGACCGGTTTCGAGAAAGGCTGGAACGGCCACGCGCAGCCCCGACGGAGCAGGCGGTCTGGACGCTGACGAGGGCTGGGGAAGCCACGTCTGGCCGCTCGGGACGGAGATGCTTCCGGGTGCAGCTGGTTTCGCTGGAGAATTCTACCGAACTTTTAAAGAAGAGTTAACGTAATTCTAAAAACTTCTGCCAGGAAATACAAGGGAAGGCACCACTTCCTGATTCTTTTTGTGACGTTCCATTAATTGATACCAAATCCGAAGACAACACGGCCGCAGAGCCAGCCCGCAGACCAACGTCCCTCCCGCAAGCGGATGCAGACACCCTCACACACTGCTGTCAAAATCAGAAGTCAGCGAAAGGGAAAAATAACTGAATACCAAGAGCAAGTGGTTTATTCTGGGGATGGGAGGCTTAAGAGAAAGGTCAGTTCTCTCCAACGGGGACACAGGGCTAACGCAATTCTTACCAAAATCCCATCAAGACTTGTAGAAACAGACAAAATGATTGCAACGTGTGCAGACATGCGAAAGAACTGAAACAGCCAAACAATCTAAAAAACCACAGCGGGGGACTAGTCGGGGGTGATGTTAATATTACAGCACGTCAGAGAGACGGGGGCAGCCGTGGACATGGGGGTGGGCGCCCCACGGAGGCACCGCTGGTCTCGGCCCAGCCTGAGAGCAGCTCCGGGAGGGAAGGTGGCCTGTTCAACAGACGGCGCGAAGCAGCTGGACACTCAGACAGGGCAGTGAATACAGACATGGACGCAAGAGGGGCCGCGGCTGAAGGAGAGGCCGCGCCGCCAGGAAATCAGGAGACGGTCCTCGGGCTGCCGGCTGGGCAGCTCCTGAGCTCGGCCCCACGGCACTGTCCACCAACGGGCACACTCCAGACGGGCCTTTCGCTCCGGGAAAGCCCCTGTGGAGACGAGGGAGGAGAGGCTCTCGCTTGGGAGAAACATCTTGCAAGACGTGAGCACAGGACACGGCAAGAACATCGAGACTCGGCAGTAAAGAGCTGAAACCACCCAACTCGAGGATGGGCCAGGGACGCGAGGGGGCGTCTGCAGAAGGGAGTGGCCAGGTGAGAGGCCTGCGCCAAGGCTGAGCATGAACCCCCTGGAGGGGGCGTGTGACAGCCCAGCCCAGCGAGAGCCAGCTCGTGCACCGAGAGGCTGAAATAAAACACGGACAAGAGGCCTCCCTGGTGGTGCAGGGGTTAGTCTCAGCACTATCGAGCTATCGCCAGCCACTGCAGCCTGAGTTCAATCCCCGGTTGGCCAGGGAGTTACCCACAGGGCGCAGCAGACCTCTCCTCTCTCCGCTGCTCCCCTCAGCAGGGTGTTTCAGTGGATCCGCCTGCTCTGCTCCCCGCTCTGTCTCTGGTGAATCCTCTCACCCCTGTACCTAGGGCCAACACCCCAGTTCTTGTATGCATAAATCAATCAATCAATCGCACCTAGGGCCGACACCCCAGTTCTTGTATGCATAAATCAATCAATCATTTTTTTTTTAAATAAAAAAAAGCACAGACGAGCCCAAG